ATGATCCGTCTGGGCTCATATGTATCGATGAGTCTCAGGTTTCTTTCAGTCCTGCGTCTCCGGGTTGCTCTGCAGCTGATTGATGAGTGTTGACATGAAGTGTTTGTTTTGGATTACGATGTCAGCTAAACGTTTCTGCTCGTTCAGCCTCAAACATTTACACATCATGCTAATGCCCACTCCGTTTACAAACCTTTAATGTAACTTCAGCAGACGCTCAGAGGATTCGTTGAATGAGATATCACAGTGAGACACATGAAGGAAACTCAACGATCTGCCAGCGCTGATGTTCCTGCTGCAGCCGTGTGAAAAACCTTCCCCTCGCAGTCCGCCGTTCAGGAATGAAGAAAGACAGCGAGTCATATTCTGACAGCTTTATGTGTGTGTTTCTTTTAAACTGGTCGTGCGGCCCCGGGGGCCTCGCTCTGAGACTCACCGTCTTCTTCTTGATTTGAATATCTAATGTACCAGCAGACGTTTGAGATTACACTCTGCAGGGCTGATCTTTTCCACTTTTCATTTCTTCTCGTCCTGATATGACCATTTTATTCATGTTTATTCATGACACTTTTCTGAACAGAGAAGTTAGTAAAGACAGAAGACAGACACATTGTTTGATTTAAATATCTGTACTGTTGCTTTAACCTCATTCAGTACGTTTGAAATACAGTGGATTTATTGTGTGACTTTAAAACTGGACTTTTAAAATGTAATCGTGTTTGTCTCAGAGTCGGACTAACACACCTTTATGTAACGGTTGGGGGTAAATGACTCTGATTACTGGCCGAGGCGTTCTGAGCATGCTCAGTAGCTCCTAGTGGGCCGGAGGTTAAACAGCATCAATGTGGATAAAAAAACAAGATGAAGGTTTCAACATGGAGAGTGATAGTGAGAAACAAGTAACTGTGCTGAAAATGTTTAAAATGATTTATGAATCATTCTGCTCTTTAAAACGTGCTCAGCGTGTTCATGTTTCTGCAGAAATAAACAACAAACGAGAGCAAAATAAATCATGTTTGTAAGTTAAAGGAATCCACTAGGACTTCATTTAGAGACCTTATAAATTCCTCTGTGTGCAATATCATCCATCCATCACAGTGACGCACTGTCCGCATGTCGTCAGGTGAAAGGAATGCTAACTGTCAGATAAGGTGCCGCGGAGAGGAGGCTAATGTGCACAAAGATATCTGCTCTTAACCTTTTTATGATGCAAAAGTATTCTTTTATTTTCATGCGTTATCAGTTAGGAGTACAGGTTTACACGCTGAGTGTGAAAAGAGGGCAGAGAAGTGTATGTGTGTGTGTGATTGTGTGTGATTGTTGGACCTTGAGCTGCTGTGAAATGTAGTTTGAAGCCTCGTAACTCGTGTTGAGGAATTTATACGGCGCTCTGAATGAACGTTTGTCTGACTCATCGTTCAGATATGCAGCTCGCCTCCCTGTGTGTTTGCACTCGGCCGCACGCTTTGTCAGTTTGCATTAGAGCAGCAGGCCGGCCTTGCTGTTTACCTTGGTATGTGAAACCTGTGTGTGTGTGTGTGTGTGTGTGTGTGTGTGTGTGTGTGTGTGTGTGTGTGTGTGTGTGTGTGTGTGTGTGTGTGTGTGTGTGTGTGTGTGTGTGTGTGTGTGTGTGTGTGTGTGTGTGTGTGTGTGTGTGTGTGTGTGTGTGTGTGTGTGTGTGTGTGTGTGTGTGTGTGTGTGTGTGTGTGTGTGTGTGTGTGTGTGTGTGTGTGTGTGTGTGTACTTTGACTACTATCATGTTTAAGGCTGATACAACAGCAGGCCTGCAAATTAATTTTTGACCTCTTTGATGCCTGAAACATCAGAAGAAGGCAGCGTTTACTCCCAGAGTTTGAGTCTGATAAGCTTCTTAAAAAACATGCAGACCATCATGTGACGGCCTCCACTTAAACACACACTTATTAATTTGTAGGGTCACACGTTATATAAGACGGATAACCCCCTCCGACTGTACGTGGGAGGTTATAGTTTAACATCACTTCAGTTTAAAATCAGTAATGACCTCCAACATGTTGTTCAAACTCTTTACTTCAATTTTTATTTACTTTCTCTCAAAAGTTATAAAATCAATCACCTTTAAAAAAGTTTAAAAACGAAAACAAGAGGTCGGACTTAAAAATATTATTAAAACGTTGAACTGATTTATTTCTCATACCGACGAGCAGGGTTGATGACGTTTAACCGCTAAGTGCACGTCCCTTATTTCAGCAGACATGTTGATGTGCACAGCTGCAGGTTTTTGCAGTTCCGCATCGGCTTCACGCCGGAGGTCGCTGCTTGGGAGTGACATGCAGGAAAGGATCCACAGGTCAGACTTGAACCCGGTCCACCTGCTGGAGGGCGGTAACCTCAGTATATGGCCATTATAAATGCTAGACCATCATCAGCGCCTTAACTTTGCAAGTTTTTTAACATAGCTTGACACCCCTCAGGTGTGGTTCTTTATGTTTTTAGCAGTTTGGTGGACAAACGCAGAAGTTTTGTGTTTGTGTTAACATAATTTACAGCGAGCCATTTACTGAAAATAATTTACAGAAAAACCTTAAAATAAATGTGAAAATGTGGTCAGACATGTTGGTCCAGTACCCCCCCCCCCCCAACCTGCAGCACTCAGCTCTGATCAGTGAGGCATGTGAGAAGCTCTACAAGTGGCTATTGAATGACTGACAGTGAAATGGAGGCTGGGCCGCTGCTGCCAGCTGGTCCTGCGCTCTGAGGAAAACGTTGACGGTGGAGCGAGGAGTTTAGGTCAGCAGCTCCTCTCGGCTCGCCGACTAAAGGACGCGATTTAGAGAGAGAGAGAGAGAGACAGAGACAGAGAAAGAGAGCGAGCACAGAGAATGAAATAATGGGATGTGGATACCCAGCCAGCCAACCAGCCGGCTTGTTTCTGCCATCGCTGTTTGGCAGAAGCCTCCCCGTCTTCCTGAGCTAAATTTAGAGCGGCGCTGAGGGGGTCTTCTCCGGGCCCCTTTTCATTATTCATCAGCTGAAAAAGGAGCCAGTTGAGTTTTTCCCTTCAGCAGCGAGCAGCAGCAGCTCAGTGTTTGTGTTGTCTGCAGTCATGAAACATCAGAGAGGCAGAGACAGGAGGACAGCTCTGAACCTGTTTCACATTATCACGTCCATCCATCTGATGTGTCTCATTCTGCTGATGCTGATTTGGACTCAGGGATGACGTGTATGAAGGCAGAGCAGCTGTTCTCTAATAAAACTCTGGTGCTTGTTTCCAACCTTCTGTCAAACATTAAATGAAGACCAACAGTAAGAAGGCTGCTTCCAAGCGAACTGGACTTTGGGGGGTGAAGCATGCTCGGGCATGGTACAGATTGGTACAGAGTGTGAGTGCGCCCTAATACAATGCCGAATGGTACGATTCCATGTGATGGAATGCTGTACAATATGATGGGTTAAATCGATGCTGCACAATGTGATGGGATGTGATACTGTCTGATATGACTGTATTGGATGCTGTAAGAAGTGAAGGTGCGGTACGCTGCGTTACATTACGAGAAGAGACGCAGTGAAGGGATGCTTTGCTTTGTGATGAGGTACTGTACGATACGTTTCTTTAATGGCACATTCCTCGGGATAAAGAGGAATTTAGCTGCTTGATTGCTGTATAAACCACCACACCACACACATTGTCCCCTTGTTCCTAAATCTTTTATATTTCTAATGTTCATCCTTATATTTATTTATTTATTTATTTATCTTGGAGTTACACAGATTCCACAAACATGTTTATGGCCCCCCTTTGGGTAGGGTAGGTTAGTTAACCCTAACACTTAAAGATGATTCTCTTTATATCTTTGAAACATGTCGATAAAAGCGTGCAGCAGATTTGTGTCTTTGCAGTTTTGTTTAATTTAAGAAACCAGCAGAAATAAAAACTAAAAAGCTTTTACAGCTGAAACATGAAAATGTTAGTTAGAATAAATCATAGAGCAGTTATAGTGCGGGGCTGCAGAGAGCAGGTTGTAAGGCCGCTGCAGGACCAGGGTTGCCCCAGAAACCTCCAGGCGATGCGTCAGTGCGGCCTGTGGAATGCAGCGGGCCGGTTTCCTCCTATTGTGATTGTCTACAGGACCCCCCCCCCAAACACTTCTCTGCTTCTCCCCCCTCAGAGGTGAATAGAGGACTCTGAAACACCAGACGACCCACCCCCACCCCCTCCTCACTCACACTCAATCCTCCTGAATCTGCTCTCAGACAAACAGCCCAGAGGAATCTGTGTTTCAAACTGTTTGGATGTTTAGAAACTTTACTTTAAAACATTATATCACCTTTAGATTTTAAAACTGGAGAAGAGATCAACAAAACATCCTGAAACTTGATGTTTAAACTCGTCCTCATCTGAAGTTCTACCTCACAAAGATCTCCAGTTTCATCTCAGAAACTAAAACTCAAATATTTTTGGGCATTTTTTTTAGGTTTCATTAAAAGTCTTTAAAGATCGATTATTAATCAGTCGACTGAGGTTATTAGTTTTGTGTTAAAATAAAAAGGACTCTCCTGCAGACAGCCACAAGGCCTCGTTCTCTGTTTGATTTCATCTGAAATATAAACCATGATCTAGAGCTGGGTATCATCATCAACCTCACAATTCAATTTGATTTCAGTTCTTTGGTCACAGGTTTTCTCAGGTTTTTCCTGAGGAGGCTCCTCCTCCTCCTGCGCATGAATCTGTGCTCGCTCTCTGTGGGTTAAAAATATGACTGATCTGAAGCTTCTCTACGTTTCAGTCATCATTTTGAAAATGACCACGTGTCTCACACACTAACATGCTGATCTGTTGTTTATTGGTACAAACACACAAAGACGTTCCTCACATCGTCCCTAACTTCCTGTTCCTGTCTGTGTTCCTCACCTTTGAGATTCAAACCCAGGAGTTGTTGATGACGAGGTTGTGATGTTTTTGTCTGTTGCCGTGGTTACGGTCCTGTTTTTGATCTGGTTTCCTGCTTCTGTCTCCTCAGGCACACGAAGCCTCTGACGTTTGCTGACTGCATCGGGGATGAGCTGCCGGTCGGCTGGGAGGAGGCGTACGACCCCGCCGTCGGATCCTACTATGTCGACCACAACACCAGTGAGTTTCCTGTTTGTTCATATTAACGCAGTAGTTTGTTTACTTTCCACGTTTGACCACGAGTATTCCTCTTCCTCTTTGTGACCTTCATCTACAGAACTCGACTTTCTGAACTGATTCATTCATTAAATATTAAGTTCCCATGTCCACAGACGACGGCGCCCACAACCTCTGCTTCAGAGCGTTTCTCACCAGCACTCATTGTTGCTAGGTTACCAAATTTAACTTCCTGTCCCTGTGTAAACGTGACATCAGCAGCAGCTCGTCACCTGAAACTGTTCCCTCCAAAAGACGAGGCAGACAAGTGTCTCCTCTGCCATTGTTGTTGGCAAAGCTGATAACAAAAGCCCCGCCCCTTCTTGATTTTAATTGGTCAGTGAGGGAGAAGAGACATTGACAAGCGTGCCGCTGCTCTTAAAGTTAAAGTCTGTTTTTAACTGAGACTGCAGCGACAAAAAACTGCTGAGAGGACGTTTTAACGTTCAAGACGGCGAGCGCTGAATTTGCCGTACGCTGGTTTGATTTGAAAACAGGCGCCGTCTGTGTTCTGAAGTGTTAAAGATGTTTGATTTGTTTTCATAGCAGAACGTTTCTCGTCAAACATTTTGATTTTGATGTGTAACTTTAATAATTCACTCCTCTTCTTCTTCTCCTCCTCCAGAGAGCACCCAGCTGGAGGACCCGCGGGCGCAATGGCAGCGGGAGCAGGAGTCCATGCTGCGGGACTACCTGGCGGTGGCGAGCGACGCTCTCAGCGCCCAGAAGGAGATCTACCAGGTGAAGGAGCAGAGGCTCCGCCTGGCGCAGCAGGAGTACCGGCAGCTTAACGACGCCTGGAGAGACAAGTCCACCTCGCAGACCAGCTGTGAGTACTGTGCAGCGGGCAGCGGGCAGCGGGCAGCGGGCAGCGGGCAACGAGAGTTCTGATTATTGATTGGTTGATATCGCTCTGACAACAGGTCAAAGGGCAAAGAAACCAAAGCTACAGAAATCTTTTTATTCTAATAGATGTGTTTCTGTCTTTTACTCGTCACATCAACCCGCCTCTCTTTAGAATCTAAGATGGCGTTACCTCTGGACTATGGCGATGTTTTAGTCGTGCAACGGTCGTGTGTTATTCTCGAAGCTTTCAAAGAATGAAACGATTTGACGTCTCTTGAGATTTAGTGTCTCTGTCAGGTGTTTCTAACAGGAAGAGGATGTGTTCTTTAACTTCACTCTCTTCTCTTTCCTGCAGTGAATTCAAGGTCGTCGTCCTCCAGCAAGTACGACCCCGACATCCTCAAAGCAGAGATCGCCACGGCCAAAAGTCGGGTAAGAGCGTCTGACCGATTCTTGAGTTTTTCTGAATCTGATAAAAGTTCATAGAAGAAGAAATCTGTAACTTTCAAACTAAAAGTTTAACATGACTTAATGCTGGTCGCTGCATGAGCATGTGTACAAACTGTGTCTCACCTGTGTGTGTCACCTGTGTGTGTCACCTGTGTGTGTCATCTGTGTGTCTCATCTGTGTGTCTCACTGTGTCTCACCTGTGTTTCTCACCTGTGTGTGTCACCTGTGTGTCTCACCTGTGTGTTTCTCACCTGTGTGTTTCTCACCTGTGTGTCTCACCTGTGTGTTTCTCACCTGTGTGTGTCACCTGTGTGTGTCACCTGTGTGTCTCATCTGTGTGTCTCATCTGTGTGTCTCACCTGTGTGTCTCATCTGTGTGTGTCACCTGTGTGTCTCATCTGTGTGTGTCACCTGTGTGTGTCTCACCTGTGTGTGTCACCTGTGTTTCTCACCTGTGTGTTTCTCATCTGTGTTTCTCACCTGTGTGTGTCTCACCTGTGTGTGTCTCACCTGTGTTTCTCACCTGTGTGTCTCACCTGTGTGTCTCACCTGTGTTTCTCACCTGTGTGTTTCTCACCTGTGTTTCTCACCTGTGTGTCTCACCTGTGTCTCAGGTGAACAAACTGAAGCGGGACCTGGCCTGTATGAAGCAGGAGCTGCTGTATAAAGAACAAGGCTACGAAACCCTCAAAGAGTAAGTGCTGTACCCTGACTCCTTCACACTCCTCTCCCTGTTTCCTCTCTCCTTGCTCCGCCCTCTCCCCGCTGCCGGGCGCTCTGACCCCTATACGTGTTGACAGCAGACTTTTTGGACGCCACTGGCGCCCTGATTTAATGTGACAAGCAGAGCAGGACAGTCAGAATGTGATGTGAATAGTAAGTGAATGTGTGACCTTCCCTCAGAGTGGACGCTCTCTGATCCTGCTCCAAGACTCCTCCCACTCTGCTTCTCTGGAGGGAGGTCTCGTGTGTGCGGCCTTCTCTCGAAGGTTAACGCAGGTAACCATATGTCCCGAGCGAGGTCACTTTTATAAATATCGTCCTCTGGTCAACCAGAAGTCTGAAACTCACTGATTTAGATGTAGTTGTGCGTTGGTGTGTCTGCCTATCTCTGCAAAGCTCCGCCCACAAACACTCGATGTCACTGTGATTTCTAAGCTCGTTATATCCGCAGTTTGTGGGACCGGCACCGTCTCTTCTCGCATGTGTTCAGGTAACCATGGCGACTGAAACCGAGCGTGTTATGTCGGAGTTGGAGATGATGCATATCGAGCAGCGGTGGATTTTTCTGCAAAGAAGAAAAGAGTGGAGACATCGTTGAATCAGTCGATGTGGAGGGTACGGGGCTACCCAGCCGACCAATCACAGGACTTGTGATTACAGACCTATGAGACCTGTGAGAGTCTGTTTCTAGTTTTTTTTTTCCGAGGGATTTCTGTAAACATGGCGGCCGACACAACCGTTAGTCTGCCTGGCGCCCCTTCAGCTCGGTCTTAAAAGTATTTTTATTAAATTATTTTTTTTTGCAAAGTTTTAAATTAGATTAAATAAATAATCATGACATGAAGAGCTCGTGTTTAACCAAACGCCGCTGACTGATTGTTGCGGCAGTCTCTGACCAGCAGCGGTCCTTCAATATCGTTAATTCGCTCCTGGTCGTGTCTGATATGCAGGCGTCCTTCCTTTTGGTCCTCACTGCTGTGAGCGCCACCTGTGGGCTGTTGTTGTCATGTGCATGTGGAGCGAGGTCTTTTAAATCCATGATGAGCGTGTGAACAGAAACATAAATAAATGTCTTTAAGTCATCAGTGTTCTCGTGCAGGTTCAGGAGAATCTGCTCATCGTCCGAGCGATTGCCTCATTATCGTCTTCACACATTCCTCCCCGTCATGACACACGATCACCGCTTTGAAGGACACGCTGAAAGAAACCACAGAAGAAGAATGTGGAAGGGAAACACTCCTTGTTTGTGACCTACTTCTCCTGCTCTGTGACTCAGGAATGTTGTGCTTCTTCTTCTGTCTCATTTTTTGTGTGTGTGTTTTGAAATCCTCCACGCCGCGCGGCCTCCGTGCCGCGAGGACGCCGCTGGGTGTTGAATTAAACAGGAATGTCCGGTCTGTTTGTCTTGCCTCCCGCGGCTCAGAGAGAGAGAGAGAGAGTGTCAGAGGATTAGTGAGGAGCTGAGGCAGAGCGGCCCGGCAGCATTCCTCCGTGACTTTCCTCTCCTCTTACAGTCATCAGACGGCGTTCAGCAGCCAATCGCTGTTAACGGACATACGAACGCGCTCAGGCTGGAATGCAGTAACTCTGCTCCCCATGAGATTTCACTAAATACTTCTTCATGAGAGAGTTTCAAAAACAGAATAAAATCAGAAGCCGCCTTCAGTGGGTCTGATTTCTGAGTTTGAGGCGTTGATGGCGTTGATGGCATGATGGTTCCCAACATGACGGTCATATGATGTTTCACTCGGTCACAACATCACGAACACGACAAAGAGGCAGAAAAATACTCAAAACATTGTTCACTTTTTTAGATATTCCTCCAGTTGTTTGTGAGGTGTGGCGCTGGTTCCCAACCTGGGGGTCCTGGACCCCACGGGGGGCGCCGTGGACCTCCCCAGTGCATGTTATTGTTTCTGCTCTGAGGTTATCAAATAAGATCTTTACATGAAGTAAAACCATGACAGCCCACTCCCTGGATAGTTTATACAAAGACCTTTCTGTTTTTTCAATAAAAACTTTATTAGTTCATCTCTGTCGTATCATTTATGTATTTCCGATCGGGTCCTTGGGGGTCCTGGCTTTTCTGAGATACAGGTGGGGCGGGGCTCCAAGGAGAAAAGGGAAACACGACCTATGGGATTTTTTTTCTTCTTCAGGACTTCAAAGATGAAACCAACAATTCATTTTCTATCGCTTGTTCGGATGTCTGGTTGCCATGGCAACAGGCTGAGCAGTTCGCCCCAGACATCAATAAATAATAATAATAACTTGATTTGTAGTGTTTCTAAACAGCTTTGAGATGTCTGAAGAGTAGAAATGCTCTCACAACAGCGTCAGGTGGTCTGATGAAAACACGACCTCACTCTTCACACGTCAGAGAGCGAAGAACTTCAAACTGTTTCAGTGAAAAGTTCCCGTTCAGCCCCTTCTCTTTCTCTCTTTCTCTTTCTCTCTTTGTCTCTTTCTCTTTCTCTCTTTCTCTCTTTCTCTTTTCCTCTCTTTCACTCTTTCTCTTCCAGAGAAACATTTCATTGTGTCATTTAATAATAAAAAAATGTCTCTGCATATTTGAGACTCAGAGGATTACTTTCCTCCTCCCTCCCTCGCTCACTTCCTCATTCCCTCTGCACCTTGTTTCTCTCTCTCTGTCTCTCTCTCTCTCTCTCTCTCTGTCTCTCTCTCTCTCTGTCTCTCTCTGTCTGTCTCTCTCTCTCTCTCTCTCTCTCTTTCCCTCTCTCTGTCTGTCTCTCTCTCTCTCTCTCTCTCTCTCTTTCTCTCTCTCCCTCTCTCTCTCTCTCTCTCTCGCTCTCTCTCTCTCTCTCTCTCTCTCACTTCCCCCCCTCCTCCCCCTCTGAAGAATGTGGAGGGACCTGTTATTCTGATGCATGCATGACTTGCTGATGGCGTGCTGCTGCTGCCTCTGATGGCGGTTTCCTGCAGCGTCTCTCGTCCCTCTGCTCTCCCTGCAGCTCGCTCTTTCCACAAACACGATCTCACGTCTCGTACCTGAACGCCTCACGTCAGGCGAACAAGAGGGTGACAGATGGTTTGACCCGTTAAACCGACTGATGATCATTTCCTGGTTGTTTTTATAAATGCTCTGTTGATCTTATCTTCTACCTGGTCGTCAGTGGAACAACAACGCTGATGTGTGATCTTCATTTTCTGTTTCTGATTCTGTTTCAAATGAAGGATTACTCCACCCAGCATCACAGTGATGTTCCTGGACGACTTTTATTAAAAGAAATGTAAATTTAGACCAAATTTCTAAACTGAATGTCAGAAAACAGACTTGGGCACAATTAATTAGAAAATGTCTGCAAGTAAACGATGTCATATTGTTAGCAGAGTGTGGCTAACGTTAGCACCGCAGCCTTCAGTCCACATGTCTGTGCTGAATGTGGTTACGCTTTGCTTCAGTTGATTTGACAGTTTAATGGGACACAGCCGACACGGTGGTTCAGTGGTCAGCGAGGAGGTTCCTGGTTTGAACCCCCGTCTGACAGGAGTCTCTCTGTGAGGAGGTTCCTGGTTTGAATCCCTGTCTGTCAGGAGTCTCTCTCTGAGGAGGTTCCTGGTTTGAATCCCTGTCTGACAGGAGTCTCTCTCTGAGGAGGTTCCTGGTTTGAATCCCTGTCTGTCAGGAGTCTCTCTCTGAGGAGGTTCCTGGTTTGAATCCCCGTCTGACAGGAGTCTCTCTGTGTGGAGGTTCCTAGTTTGAATCCCTGTCTGACAGGAGTCTCTCTGAGGAGGTTCCTGGTTTGAATCCCTGTCTGACAGGAGTCTCTCTGAGGAGGTTCCTGGTTTGAATCCCTGTCTGACGGGAGTCTCTCTGCGAGGAGGTTCCTGGTTTGAATCCCTGTCTGTCAGGAGTCTCTCTCTGAGGAGGTTCCTGGTTTGAATCCCTGTCTGTCAGGAGTCTCTCTCTGAGGAGGTTCCTGGTTTGAATCCCTGTCTGACGGGAGTCTCTCTGCGAGGAGGTTCCTGGTTTGTGGAGTCTGCATGTTCTCTCTGTGCATGTGTGGGTTCTCTCCGTGTACTCTGGCTGTCAGTGCTGTGATTGGCTGGTGGCCTGAATGGGACAGGCGGTATAGATGATGGAGGGATGGAGAATACCATTAAACCACTCTGCTCCCATGAGACACTTTCTGTTCTCTGGTCTCGATGATCAGGGCGTAGATAAATCTGACGGCGTTCTTTAAAGAGAAGAAGAAGAGGAACTTCCTGTATTCTTTGGCGTTGACGGTCAGAGCTCGCAGTCTGAGAAAAGTGAATGAGTAATGTTTCTGTTTGCAGAGAAGCCAGCTGAGCGAGTGTTTGTATAAACCTGTGGTCACAGCTGGCAGCGTCACTCCTCAGAGTAACCATGAGTCAGAGTGTTTCTGTAACGCAGCGCGCTCGTCTGGTGACCGGGGGACATTTAGTCTGCGCAACTTCTACTGTCCTGACTCATCGTCTTTCTGTCTCTCTCCTCCAGGATCGACCAGAAGGTGTCCAACAGCCCGTATGGCTTCAAGCTGCAGGAGGCGCAGGCCATCCTCAGCGAGGTCCGCTCCATCAGGGACGCCATCAGCTCCGGGGAGAAGGAGAAACAGGAGCTCATGCAGGTAATAAGACTGGAGGTCAAGTGACTTAAAAACAGTTTTTACTCAGAGATGATACGACCAAAACAAACGCTGAACCCCACAGCAGCTGACACAAAAAAAAATCAATAAATCAAGACAGCTTCACTTTTTATAAGATTAGAATGAAATCTTAAAGACAGCGATAGTGACAGAGAGCAGCTCAGTGAATTAAAGCACCACAGAAGAAGAGTTCTGACTAAGTTTCCCTACTTTGTACTTCTCGATATCACACATTTTAAAAATGTTACAGTCTCAGTTTTTAATGATCGATGATATCTAAAAGAACCAGAGCTTTAAAAAAAAAACATCATATTTTTCACCAAAGGAGAGTGAAGGAGAGAACAAATGCGACGCCAGGTGAAGACATTTGTGGCTCGCTGACGGTAAAATAAATCGCTGTCATTTTTTTAAAGAAAGCGTACATTTACATCGTTGTTGATTTTTTTTAGCTGTTTTTTTCTTAAATGATGTGTCATCGAACCCGCTCCAAAAACACAGAACTTTCTCTGTGAAGGTGTCATGAGGAGAACAGAACACTAACAGAGAATTCTCCGCCAGCCTCTTTATGTTACTGTTTGGATTGAGAGCCCCCTGGTGGTGGAGTTTACAAACTGCAGCTTTAAGATAATAAAGAATCGTACATGAAGGTCGCCCTCAATGATAGAAAGTCATATTTTATTTTCCTGAGCGGCTACATTTTATTTCACCTCTCCTCGGGAATCCTGCTCGGCATGTTCTCGGTCCGTCCGCAGATACCCGGGTTAGACGTCCCCAGAGCTTAATCAATCCAGAGGGGATTTAAAGATGCACACGAGCAGGAAGACAAGAGATTTACATGCAAAATAAAAGAAAGACAGAACAGATAACATGAAATATTAAACAGAGTTTATTCAGAGACTCAGTGACAGAGGAGGAGCTGGATTCATCAAATCAAATGAACGAGGTCGACACCTCCTGATCAGATCCTTGAACCTCCTCATTGATTTAACGTCATACAGACGAGCAGCTTCTCTGCTCAGAATAACTCGTAGCTGTGGCTCGATTATTTCAGCAGCTTCTCTCCTGACTGCGGGTCATAAACATCCTGGTACTTGAGACTGCAGATCAGAGCCAGAGCTCTGTTGGATGATCAGGATTCAAGTCGAAACCAAAGATCTGTCTGCAGTCCGCTGCCTGAGTCCACTCATCCACACTTCCTGGCTGCAGTGTGCATTAAAGTTGCATGATGGGATTTGGAGGCTGCAGGTGTGCAGAGGAAACATGTTTACTGACGGTTTCTGCTTCTGATGCAGCTTCATGCAAACTGCGCCACGTTGTTTCAACACTTCATGTCTTTGATGCAGAAAATATAAAGGAACAATTTATAAACACTGAATCAGCATTTTAGAGTCCAGTCCTGCATCACACACCTCACTGCAGACGGTCGTCTTTCACACTGACTCTTACTTACTTAAACATTACATTGATCTGTTTTGACTTTGGCAAGCAGACAGTCCGTCTAATATGGACGTGATAAACGCTAAAGTAACACTTAGAAGACTTCGGCTGTGACATTGATCAGGTGTTAGAAGCATGCAGACATTAAATGTGTTATTAAAAGGACGTCTGTAGCTCTGTGAGTGTGTTTGTTTTGCAGGTAGAGAGAGAGTTCATTAATACATTGTCTGCTCCGAGGACTCCCTCTCTCCTCCCTCGCCCGTTACCATCTGCAGCTGACAGCTCAGTCTGATTGTCTGGGTCACGTGTGTGTGTGTGTCTGTGTGTGTGTCTGTGTGTCTGTGTGTGTCTGTGCGTGTGTGTGTGCGTGTGCGTGTGCGTGTGTGTGTGTCTTGATTTAAACATGATCGCTTCAGGTCGTTAAGGTGTTTGTTTTTTACTCAAAGCTTCATAACTCAGTCATCCAGTGTCTGATCCTGTGCAGACATTTAAGGATCTGATCTAAGATGCATAATCACGCCGTGTGTTTAGAGTCTGATCACTCAGAGACAGCGTGCTAACATGGCGCTCGTCTCTTCTGCTGAGCAACACAGTTTTCTCCTGGTGGGACGCCGAGTCGCAGCGCTCGTCAATGTCACTTTTTGCCGAGGCAGCTTTTTATGACTTTTTCCCTCCTCGACTCGGAGCAAAGCAACGCAGAGCTCTACGTTAGAATCCAGTTTAGTCGCCCGTATGAACACGCAGACCACTCCACAAGCGCTCCCAGATGTTTTTACCCCCAGATGAGATCAGGCCCCGCTTAGGGGGACGCGTCTCTGTGTGATCGGGCCCTCAGCTAGGATTTCATTAAAGATAAAAATAAACTTTATTGATCCTCCATGGGGAAACAGGAATATAATGATCAAAAATAACAAGAAGTTAAAAATCAAACATCAGTTCAATAAAGGGAGAAAAAATACAATATAAGAATAATACAAGGTATGTACACTTCCACTTGTGGAAAGACTTATTAATTAATGAATTAATCATTTATATTTTAAACACAGATTTAAACGCTGCCTTTATGCTAATACTAAACTAAACACAGCCTCAGGAAGAGGACGGGAGACGTCTGACGGGACGTTTAAAGACGCTGAATATTCAAACAGAGTTATTTTTCTGCTCCGTCTGAAGAGCGGAGATAAGGTGCGTTCCTTCAGAACGAGCTGCAGAGTCGTGTTAGATTTTCATCCGGGCTGTGGAGATGAAAGGACGCCTGCTGCTGCTGCATCATCACACACACACACACAGGAGGTCTGATGTTTCCTCGTTGCCCTGAGCGACTCTAACTTTATTATTCCTGTTTCACTCCCCTGAGAGTCTCTGCGTTTTATTGTCTCTGTGTGTCCTTAATTACGTCCTATTTTTACTCTCTGGGTTCCTGCTGCAGTGTCCCACTTTCCCCCCCTGCACTTTGTCTGTGTTGTGATTCCTGTTTGTCTCGTGCAGAAACTGGCCGTGTTGAAGGACGGCTTCCAGCTGGACTCAGGCTCCCAGCAGGAGCTGTGGGGCAGCAGTCCCTCGCTCGCCAACTCCGAGCTGTCCATCCCTCCACTCTACTCGGACGCCGGCTCCCAGACCGACATCCCTGCTGAGGTACGCTTCTAAACTAACTGGGTCACAAAGGTCAAAGACAAGGTGACAGAACCTGTTCACTTTAAAGAGACAGACTCTTCACCGGGCCAAACGAGTCCCAAACCAAAAACTTCATGTTCATCCAGAAAGGGCTTTTTAAAGTAATTTGGTTTGCTGTGCTTTGGCGCCCTCCAAAGGTCTCTGCGTGCAACACACCCAGTGCTGTTAACTCCTCCCCCTCTGAGACGGCGTGCATGTGTTGACAATCAGAGGGCGGAGAAGTCGACAAAGACGTCGTGAGAAACTGAAGAACCACATCGACTGATGACTTTATGCCATGGCTAAATACCTACTTTGAGGAGGGGTCGTTGATTACATGCTTAGATTTTATTACCCTTTGGAGGGACACGACCCACACGTTGGGAATCACTGGACTAGTTTCTGAAAGAGCTCAAACTTTCCAGCAGTGAACCTGTGTGTTAAACGTTTAATAACTGATGTTTCTGATTTTGTTTCTGTGTTTGTTTTCAGTTCATGACGAGCACCAACAAACTGGCCGAGAAGGTTCGTCTGAGCCTGAAGTACGAGGAGGCCAAGAGAAGGTACAACAGACTTTTTACTGATCCTCATGTTTATGAAGTTTTTTCTGTCTGCTGTTAGTAGAGGAAAAGGATTTTATTTATTTATTTGTTTGGTTATTTAACATGGACATACAGTAACATTGGTGCTGTAACATTTAACCATGCACAAGTTCCAGATGCACTGCTCTGAGTGTTTATAGCAACACCTGTCCACGGGAGGCTTTTAGAAACAACAGAGATAAAGATAAAAAGGGTAAGAAAAAGAAAACAGTTCAGTTATGAATGCAACAGTTACAGAGAGAGAAATATAGGACAGACATTTGTGAGCTCATGTGGGTTTAAAGGGAGGCAGACATGTAACGGGGCGCTTTGACTGTCCAGATGTTTCAAAGAGAATCTAACTTTGGTCGCTGGTGATCGTCGGCTGAATGAATCTCAGGCGGCTCAGAGATCAGATCGAGTTAAAGGTTTAATCTGGGATTTCTCAGGATCGCCACCATCGAGGTCCAGATCGCCAAACTGGACAGCGAGGCATGGCCGGGACTGCTGGACCCGGAGCGAGACCGCCTGATCCTGATCAACGAGAAGGAGGAGCTTCTGAAGGAGCTGCAGTACATCAGCCCGCGCCAACGCCTGCAGCCCAACGACGCCGAGAAGCTGGAGACGGAGAAGAAGCGTCTGGAGAGAGACCTGCAGGCGGCGAGGGACAACCAGAGCAAAGCCCTGACCGAGAGGTGAGACACTTTGTCCTCTAACGGGACACGAGCTGACAAACACAAAGTTTAACTAGAATACCGCTTCAGGTCGAGTCACGCCCGCTCTCACAGCTCGCCTTACTGCGACGCAACGTCTCGTGTTGAAAATGAACCCAGGAGAAGTCGTGTTGAGACATTTACATACGACCACAATCCTCCAAACAGGAGGAAAGAAAACAGTTTTTATCTTTGTTTCTGAAGCTGAACAAGCTCGAGCAGGAGCTCAGAGGCACAGAGAAGGTCACGCCGCTGATGACAGCATCGTGATGTGTTTAACTCTCTTCACCTGCTGATAAAGCGTTGACCTTCAGTTGACCTTCAGCGTGTGTTTGACCTTCAGAGACGTCAAACCTCCTCCATGATTATTAACAGTTAGAGACGAACGTGTCAGACTCCTCTCCTCTATTTACAATTCTTAACTCAGCAGCAGAGGAAGAACCACTAAGATCCATACTCCCCCCTCCCCCTCCCCCCTCCCCCTCCAACCCCCCGTCCCCCTGTAACAGGACTGTCGTTGTTCGGTGCTCAGGTCAGACTTTACCTGAGCTCAGTCTCTCTCTTTCAGTCTCGTCTCGTGTTCCTGAAACCTGAGAGGCTCACAAAGAAACCTCTCGTAGTCCTCCTACACACACACACACACACACACACACACACACACACACACACACACACACACACACACACACACACACACACACAGGGTCCTTGACTGCAGTAAAGTCTTTGATTCGTTTTGGAGGCTATAAACGCCCACGCAGGTTTTTTATCGGGGATCCGGTCTTACCTTCACTCAGGTTGGAAAAAGATTTCTGCGGATTGTGTGAGCTCATAACGACAATGTGAAATGTGTGAGTCGAGGAGGGAGGGGGACCGAAGACGCACATGAACACACCCTCTCTGACCCGTTATAAAAAACACAGAAAACCCACAACAGCTGCTTTTATTACTGGGAGATGTTCAGGGACGGCGCCGGCCATTTTGGCGCTCAAGATGTGATAAGGTTGTGACGACCGCCCTAACGCACACTCACACACAGATACTGCTTCATCGCTTCATCGAAACTCCACCGCCGAGCGTACGATGAACAAATGTTGATGTTTCACCTTATGTGTTCAAACTGTGCGAGTGAAATCAGGATGGAGGATTCACAACCGTCAATAAACAGATTAAACAGGCAGGCCTGCTGTTGCCATGGTGATTTCAAATGCTGTCCGTTAGTTGTGCAGGCACAATCAGGAAAATAAAAGCCCTGAGGTTTCGGCTCTGCTCCAGCTGTGTGAGCGCGTGCAGACGTACGAACAACATTTCAAACAATTAATCTGACCGGTTTGGATCAGCTGATCGAGTCGTGACCCGCGTCCTCGAGCCCCGTTGCACGACTAATGACACACGATCGGGCTGAAAAGCATGCTGGATTTAAAATCAGTTGTACGATTGAAATCACACAGAAACGATCCCCGCTTCATAGATTCATGTTTCTAGGGTCAGTGTAACAACAATGACAGTGAAACTCTAAATAACCCAGAAGAGTTTTGATTTATTGATCTGATATTTGAATCAAGCTGACGGCGAGCTGCGACGTGAAGATGGACTGGAGGTATTTTGACGCCACTCTTTTACATTTAACCATCGAGCATTTGGAATAAGATGCAGTTTTACTTCATAGCTGTCTCAGTCTCATTACTCAACGTGAGCTGGAGGAAGTAAACGATGTTACCTTTAGTTGAATGTAATATAAAACCGCTTTAAGTCCTTTTGACCTCTAAAAACAGACATCCTCAAACTGTTCTCGTCCTCGTCAGCGAGTGAGTAAAAGAAGAGAAACGATAAATCTGAGCGGACATTTGACCTCAGCAGCGAGCGGTCTGTAACCTGATCAAAACACTTCCCCCTCTTTGGCCTGTTTCCATCCAAACCACAGCTCCCAGTAAAAGCTTCTATGGACCAGTTTCCTCTGTGACAAAACTCAAACACACAGATCACAGCGCCGTCACCTGAGCACAAAGCAGCGGCTCAAATGGCGGCCTCCATGTCCTCCTCTCTTCTTAAAGTGTTCATGAAGGATTTCATTTTCCTCCTTCAGGTGGTCAGAGCTCCACCTTTAGTTTATCGCCTCCTGATCGAGTGTTCTCCTGTGTGTGTTTTCAGGCTGAGACTTCACTGTAAGAGGAACAAGCTGGTGAGGGAGCTGGAGGAGACGGTTCGACTCGCCTCGTCACTGCACACTCAACTCAAAAGGTTTGTTCACCTCATTACCACCGGTTCATTTTATTTTTTTAAGATTTATTTTTTGGGCTTTTTGTGCCTTAAATGGAGAGAGAGGACGGTGGATAGAGTCTGAAATCAGAGAGAGAGAAAGAGAGTGGTATGACATGCAGGAAAGGAGCCACAAGTGGGATTCAAGTGGGACTGTGCATGGAGCGTGCACACTAACCACTGAGCCACCAGCGCCCCAAGGGTTCATCTTGAACCTTTCAACTTCTTCACTCAGCAGCAGCATCACAGCCACTGTTTGAGAGAGCATGTAAAGATGGAGTCAGATGCTTTTCTCCTTCAAAATAAAATACAGACTTATGTAGGGACCTTCAAAATAAAATACAGTCTTCTCCTAAAGTGAAGCTGCTCCATTGTCCCTTCTGGGCCTCCGTACATGTGTGCTGGTGACTGTGTCTGCAGAGACTCTGTCCTCTCACTGGATTTTACTCTTCTAATTTGTTCTGGTTGACTCGGGATGTTTGTGGGCGGAGCTGGTGTGTTTCCTCCAGCCAATGACGGCGCAGCAGGTGAGTTTAGGAGAGGATACAGTTCAGTGATTGGACGAGATTCAAACCGGTGAATATGATGGACGTGGACGTAGCATTAAAGAAGAGAAAATATAATGAGAGTGAGGAGAAACACCAAGTGGATAAAGCTCGTTCTAAAACGAGGGTGAACCTTGTGTTGTCTTTTACCCGTGGACGTGGAGTTGATCTACTTCCTGTTGGACAGGAAGGTGACAAACACCGGCGGTTAGCTTGTGTTAGCGTGCGTTAGCTTGCAGTGTAGCTACAAGCAGTAAATGTACACAATCCTGCAGGGGGCGGGGCTTCTGGGGGTGACGAGCCCAGGAGGAGGGGCCAAGTTTTAATTTCTACTGACTCCGCCTTTTAAACACTTTGAGCATAAACTGAGACTGAAGTGAAGGGGAGGAAGAGAAAGTATTTAAGGAAACATTTAGTGAAGTGGAAGCTGCTCTGTTCTCGTTTGTCTCTAACAAACGTTCAAACCCTGCTCACATTTCAGAGCAGCTCTGAGAATAACATTTTTATGAGCTGATGCAACGAGGCGGTAAGAGCGCTGACGTTACAGAGTCCTTTTCATATTTAAAAGTAATGATAATCTGAGAGTTTGAAGGTGAACCGCGGTGTGAGTTCCTCCTCAGGCTGACCCCCCCCCCCCGCTCTGACGGACATGAAACGTCTCCCCGGTGGATGGGATCTCCTCTCTGTGGGCGCTAACGAGTCCTCCTGCTTTAATTAGAGCGAGGCGGGAGACAGGAGGGGAGACGTATCACTCCCTCAGCTCACATCAATCACCTTCATCTCTCTTCTTACTTAGGTTTCAAACTTTTAATTGGTGATAAATTTGATGGATGGGGGCTCACTCCTGCTGGCCTTGAGGATGAGATGTATCATAAAGTGAGGGCGAGGTCTCTCTCCCAGCGGCGCCCTGCAGCAACACCATACAAGACAAAGAAAACGAGAAATAACAAACTTCTAACTGGGGAAATGTTACTGAGAGTCTTCATAAAGTCACTCCCATTATGCCCCCCCCACAAAGTGGTCCCAATTGTTTGTATCCAGTGGAACTTACAGACATATAAAAAGGCTTTTCTTCTAAACAAAATGAACAATGAACTGCATATTGCCATTAAAGAACACAAACAGACATGAAGCTTGTATTTTTGTTTTACACAAACAGAGAGAAACTGATTCTCGCATTCTTCTTTTTGTAACATTTTCTGGATATTTTCAGGTGAAGAGGATGAAATATTAACCCCCCCATCTCTCTCTCCCTCAGCCTCTCGGCGAGCACTCTGTCCTGTTCCTCCGGCAGCAGTCGAGGCTCCCTGACGTCCAGCCGCGGCTCTCTGGCCACCACCTCCAGCCTTGGCTCCGCCTCCTCGCTCAGCTTCACAGACCTGTACCTGGAGCAGCCCGAGCTGGCCGACCCGGACTTCCAGAACAAGCTGGACAGCCTCCTGCAGGAGGGCGGTCAGGGCGGCTACCGGCCCTCCAGCTCCATCACCACCATCCACGAGCACGAGGTGGTGACAGCCAGCGGGGGGAGGGATGCGGCGAGGCCTGAGGAGAAGGCCAGCGGGGTGGGGGGAGACGCCACCGGAGGAGGTGCAGGAGGAGGAGGAGGTGGTGTCGGAACGGAGTCGGGGTCGTCCAGGATCCAAGCGCTCAGACTGTCAGAGACTCCCCGCTCCATGAGCTCCCTATCCCCGCGCTCCTCTCTCTCCTCGCTGTCCCCGCCCTGCTCGCCACTGGTCACAGACACTAGTTTCCTGTCAGGAGAGACGTTTGCAGGTCAGACGGGGCCCGGCGGCCTCAGCCTGGACCTGGAGCTCCACAGCAGGCTGGCAGAGCTGGAGCTCAGTCTGGACCCTCAGGAGGAGCGGGAGGAGCACGGGGGTCACAGGAGGCGGGGGGAGAAACAGAACCACAACACAGCGCTGAGCGAGGACGTGAAAGGTAAACAGGAAGCTCATGTTCTTTGATTCTGTGTCCTCGACATGCAGGAGTTTCTCACAATCTAAAACTAAAGGAAGAGGTAAAGTCAGGAGCAAAGTGAAAACACCAAAACATCCCACAGCGCTCATCATTCAGACTGTGCAGGATGTTCAGGATCTATAAAATATAAAATATATTCAATAGAGAACAAAACGACTTAAAAGACACTAAAGGCTGAATAAAACATCACATATCAAATCACTCAGACTTCACAGCCCTGATCTCCTACAGAACGAAACTTAGAGACCTTTAGAGTTTAAGTTCCATCACAAGACGAGCGGAGACGATGAAGAAAAACAAACTTTTCAATATTTCAATGTTTTTAAAAACAACTTTCTGAGCCTTCAATTCAAAGTCAGGTGGAGATGAAAAGATCTTACACTCATGATGATCTAAGCTTTTTCAGATGTTCAGCTTTAATTCACATATATTTGATGTTTAATGTCGAGAAGTTTCTAACAAAGGGGAAGTTTCCCTCCTCTCCCTCATCAAACTGGCTTTGTTCTCAGTGAAACAAAGTTTGAAGATAAAAAAAAACATGAGTGTCTGATGTAGGAAGGATTTCCCCTGATCAGAAACAAACAATGAAAGAGTGTCAAACGTCATGAAGATGTGTGGAGAGCTGCCTCCGAACAAACAGAAGAAACAAAGAGAAGGTGTTTGAGTTTCTGGCGATAAAGTTTGTTAACAAATTAAGATTGATTGAAAAATTCTTATACGCATCATGAGGGCATGCTGGGAGGTCTGAGGGGGCGGTCGACAAGGATCCAGGATCCAGGCCCTCCTCTCTCTCTCTCTCTCTCGCTCTCTCCCCTCACTCCCCTCTCTCTCTCTCTCTGTCTCTCTCTCTCTCCTCTCTCTCTCTCTCTCTCTCTCTCTCTCTCTCCTCTCTCTCTCCCCTCTCTGTCTCGCTCTCTCCCCTCACTCCCCTCTCTCTCTCTCTCTCTCTCTGTCTCTCTCTCCTCTCTCTCTCTCTCTCTCCTCTCTCTCTCCCCTCTCTGTCTCGCTCTCTCCCCTCGCTCCCCTCTCTCTCTCTCTCTCCTCTCTCTCTCTCTCCCCTCTCTGTCTCGCTCTCTCCCTTCACTCCCCTCTCTCTCTCTCTCTCTCTCTCCTCGCTCCCCTCTCTCTCTCTCTCTCTCTCCTCCTCTCTCTCTCTCTCTCTCTCTCCTCTCTCTCTCTCCCTCTCTGTCTCGCTCTCTCCCCTCACTCCCCTCTCTCTCTCTCTCTCTGTCTCTCTCTCTCTCTCTCTCTCTCTCTCTCTCTCCTCTCTCTCTCTCCCCTCTCTGTCTCGCTCTCTCCCCTCACTCCCCTCTCTCTCTCTCTCTCTGTCTCTCTCTCTCTCTCTCTCTCTCTCTCTCTCTCTCTCTCTCTCTCTCCCCTCTCTGTCTCGCTCTCTCCCCTCACTCCCCTCTCTCTCTCTCTCTGTCTCTCTCTCTCCCCTCTTATTGTTCTATTAGATTGACTTTGAAACGACTGAAGGAGGAGGAGTTACAGATTGTTGCTTTAAATCAAAAGATGTGGACTGTCTCTCATTGGAGTTTGCTGGAGTACGTTAACTCCTCCCCCTGATGCATTGCTCCACTTCCCCTCACACCGGATTCTCTCCTCTTTGTGGTTAACTTGTAAATCAGTCGAGTGTGGATTATAGTTTGTCTCCGTCCTGATGTTGAAGCTGGATCACAGACAGTTTGAAGCTCAGTGAAGCTGAACAGGACTCAGGTTGCAGCTCCAGGTGAAAGGTGTACGACGTGGTGTCTGCTTTCCTGTTCACTCTCTGAACATGTGACCGGACTCTTAACTCGTCACAGGCAGCAGACGTGCATCACTAACGGTCGCTTTGTTACCACACAGTGCTGCAGTGATGTCAGGAGAGACAAAGTTATTATTCTCTGGACACAAAGATAATACCAGTTCACCAGAACCAGAGTAATGTTTAGAGTCTCAGAAGATTTGTTCACATGTCTGTCCTGTGCAGTATGCAAAAAAAAACAAAGAACAAAACAGGATGTCGCACAACATCTGCATACTTCCTGTCATATTTTACAAAATGCACGCCAGCAAGCATTTTAACTTTTCTAACAATTTTAACTTTTTTAACTTTCTGCTGAGAGTTAAGCAACATATTTGAAATCCCAAATCAATCAATCATTATTTGTATAGCACCGATTCATAACAGTGGAGACATGTAACTCCTACATGAAGGAGAGGAGAGGAGAGAACTATTTTCTCTGGTGGATGAACACATAAAGCAGCAGGAAGGTGTTTTCTGCTTGTGTGTAAAAATGTTTTCTATCGTCCCCTCGTCCTCAGACTCGACTCCACAGCTTCGAGGGACGGCGGCGGGGCCAAAGAAGATCGGCGTGACCTCTGCGGTGTCTGACGAGTCGGTGGCTGGTGACAGCGGCGTGTACGAGCCTTCGGAGCGCAGGTACAGAGGATGTTTACACAACACATTTTATTTTCTGTCGTCAAGTTGAGTTCTGGTTCAGCAGTAACTCAGTGCGTGTGTCTCCTGCAGGCTGGGCCTCCCCGCCGACCTCCTCCTGGGCTCCTACGAGGAGCGGTTGGCGTTGGGCTGCTCTCAGGTTCAACTCGGCTTCCGCTACGAGTCCAGAGAGCAACGCTTCACCGTCTACGTCATGCAGCTGTCCAACTGCAGCGCCCTCTGTCTGCCGGCTGACCAGAAAATGTACGTTGTGTCATCATCAGTCAGATAGTGAGCAGCTCTTTCAGTACCTTCTGTGTCCACCAGGGGGAGTTTGTAATCCTGCTAGCTACCTGTTGGTCGTAGTGAAGTTCAGACCAACAGCCCGCGAGTCGCCCCGCCCACCTCCTCTGCTCACCTGTTGTCTTTAACTGAGGAGTCAAAGCAGCCCTCCACACGCTTTATTTACTGATCTGTACACCACTGTTTGATTTAAATGCACCATGATGACCTCATAGCGGAGGCCTGGTATGCGTTGCTATGGTTCCCGTATGTAGCGACGTGATGGTGGCGGCTGCTTCTGCGGCCTTGTAGGCTCATGTCTCTGTATTTAACACTCACTGGTGTGTAGGAGGCAGCTGACTTTTTAGATGAGAAAAAGTCTTAAAGGTGCATCTGATACAACAGAAATATTTGTTTATTTATCCATTAAAGTCTTTAAATGTGATTTTTCACTCTTAAATATATAAATCAAGTATCTCCTCTGAAAATAACTCTGTGAGTCATGACTGTCTACAATGGGTGTAACACCCGAGTCCCACTGTCTGTGATGTTTTCAGAGTTTTCAGAGTCCTATCTTCACTTTGTTTACATCGCCCGGACGGCCGGCTGACTCCTCCCCTCGTGTATAAAAGTTGTTTAATTGAGGGACTAGAGAAAAGAAGAATAACATACTGTACTCACTGCTTAACTGTGTTTCTAGATCACGCTCATTTCAGGTCAATTTACATGCAGTGTGAAGATACCAGCATAATAAAGATCACTAGCATTAGCATGCTAACACAACAATGCAGCACGAGTTGTTTTGGTTTCATGCTGGTGCTCAAGGGCGACATCTGCTGGATCAAAAAATCACATATAAAGCCTTTAGGATGAGAAAGAGAAGAAAACTCAGGTAAGTATTTTAAATATTAAAATGAGACACGAGACGAGACACAGAGACGGTCAACATTCAGACCGTTTATCTCTTTTTATTTAACAGAGTTAGGAGTTTATTGCGTTTACTTTGTCCTTGGGCGGCGCTCGTTTGTTGCTTTGCATGTTTAATGACCCTGCAGACGCTGAGTGGAGCTGCTTTATCTGGATGTTCACTTTGGAAGAAGTGGCGCCGTCTCTTCAAAGCATCGCTAACCTCTGACGTCTGTCCTGCAGGTACGTGCGTGTGGCGGCGCTGCCCTGTGTGGAGACGACCCGCTGCCTCTTCAGAACACGTGGCGCTCTGCCTCAGGACGTCGTGGAGGTCAACGAGGTGTTCGGCATGCAGATATCCCACAGTGCATTGCGGCAGAAGACGCTGCGGGTCGATGTGTGCAACACCAGCAAGTCGGGTCATGAAGACTGTCTGGTGAGTGGACTCTGTGTTTCTACATCTCACATGTGAGGCGGGGTCACCCTGACCGTGTTTTAACCTCCTTCCGCCTCACGCCTCCCCCCCCCCCTCCCTGCAGGCGGGCGCTCAGATCAGCCTGGCTGACGTCAGCTGTTCGGAGGAGAGATGCACAAAGTGGTACAACCTGCTGAGCCGAGCCTACATGCCTGAGATCAGCAAAGAGGAGAAAGAGAGGCGAGCAGCCGGCGCCGCCAACAGGGTACAGACGAGACTCTGATCTTAAAAAGTTTTTAGAGTTTAGATTCAACATGATTTATTTACAGCGAGGCGAATCCATCTTTAAGAATCCAGAAACACGATTTAATCATCTGATTGAAACGGCTGGATCTGAAATACTCTGCAGTCACCTGAGATGCTGCAAGACCTTTCAATGATTCATATATAGTTTGTGTGTGTGTGTGTGTGTGTTTATCCTCGTGTGTGTGTGTGTTTGTGTTTCAGACTGCAGTGATTTCCAGCGTGTCCAGAGTCGGCGCTCCTGAAGACGATGAGTGGTGAGTGTTTCTACTTTCTTAACTCGACTCATGTTAAACAGCTGCTGCTGGTTTGGGAAACTACCGGGAAACGAGATGTAGATGTACACAGAAATGAGTCTAGCGATCAACAATCAGAAAAGAGTCAAATAAAATGTCTGAATCTTAATCTGCTTCAGGCGTCCTGTGATAGTTTAAACAGAATCTCTGCAGACTGAATCATCATCTCTTCATGTTACTGAGGGATTTAAAAACGTCTCTGTGGTCAATCTTTAGGCACGGCGACGTCCTGGAGGCAGACATGTTTGATGATGAAGAAGGAAACGGAGAGGAAGGGGCGGGGCCTCTGGAGGAAGAGGAGGGGTTCTATCCTGACAGCAGCCAATGGGAAGCAGAGGAGGAGGAGGAGGAGCATGTGACCAAACCTCCTCCTCCTTTCCCGACAGCAGCGATCACAGAAAAGGTCAGAAACATCAAACCGTCTCCTCCGAGGTTTCAGAACCTTCACAGGAATCTAAAAGTCCTCGAGCGGTGAGTTCAGTTTCATCATCTCTGTCGTTGGTTTTTCTGTCCAGGTGAACAAGGAGACGAGCACAGACAGCTCGTCACGCCACCACTCGGTGGTTCGACCGAAGGAACGGCGCCCGGACGTCCGACAGCAGAACCCGTTCATGAGGGGGAACACCATCATCCGGTCCAAGACCTTCTCCCCTGGACCCCAGAGCCAGTACATCTGCAGGGTACCAGAACTCTGAGTGAACAACAGGAAACCAGGAAACACCTGGACAGTTAGTAACACCTCTCTCTCTCTTTTTGTTTCAGATTAACCGCAGCGACAGCGACAGCTCCACGCTCTCCAGGAAGTCTCCGTTTGTCAGGAACGCCTCCGAGAGACGCAGTGTGCGTATGAAGAAGGTAAACGAGTCAGAGTCCAGTTACAGGGTTTTAATAAGACAGCTGATCAGAGACAGGAGAGAGAGGGGGATGACGTGCAGCCGAGGTCGGATTCAAACCCACGGCCGCTGTGACGATGACTAGCCGCCGTACTCTCATGATGCAACTCCTGTTTTGTTTCAAAACAACACAGATCAGTCGTTTCAGTCGGCGCGGTTTTGTTTCTCGAGCTCTGTTTAAAAAAAAACCTGATTAAAGGGATCTGGATGATCTGATCCTTAGCAGGAAAAAAATGTGGATTACCAAATCCAGATAAACTGAGGCGTGAGTTGGCCTAGCGGTGATGTTGTGTGCTCCATTTACATCCTCCAAGCGGGCGGTCTGATTCCACTTTGCAGCTTCTTTCCTGCTCTTCATTCCTCGCTCTCTCATCCACTGTCCCGTCAATAACGGCTCGATAAGGAGCTGAAGAGAGACAGGATACCAGGAGAGAGCGGGGGTGATACGCAGTAAAGGGGACGGATTCAAACCCAAACCGTCTGTGAAAAGGACTTCAGTCTGCCACGGTTTCTTAATTTGTTCAATGTTCTGAGCACGCAGGTTGGTTGTGCACGGCGTGCCCTGCTGGTCGCTGCGACTCTGAGGATCCCCAGCAGGGACTCTGAGGATCCCCAGCAGGGACTCTGAGGATCCCCAGCAGGGACTCTGAGGATCCCCAGCAGGGACTCTGAGGTGCACTTTACAGCCGGACTGTAAACAAACAGCGTCAGAGCTGTATGAAACATTCAGCTGGTTATTAATTATTAAAGCAGCTTCACTTTAAGACTCAGATTCTAACAGACTCTCTGATGGACCTTCACTGTTAAACTGTCAAAGACTCAACAAGCAGGAAGTTAAAGACAGCTGATCACAGAGAGAAACATGTTTCTGCTTTCTGTTTCCCCTTCAGCCTCCTGTGCAGGTTAAAGGTCTGGACGGTCTGCTGCGGACCTCCCTGGACCTGGAGCTGGACCTGCAGGTGTCTCGGACTCGGCAGGCCCGGCTGGATCAGGAGCTGCGGGTTCTGCGGGAGCTGAAGACGCAGCTGGAGGCGGCGAGACAGCAGGGCCGGAGAGAGCTGCCCACCTGGGTCCAAGAGGACGAACGCTTCCGTCTGCTGCTCAAGCAGGCCGAGAAACAGGTGAGTCAACATCCAGAGGTCTAAGTGAAGATGAGTCCACCTGAGGGTTTGTACCAGGGTTTGAGTCTCCTGTGTGTCCCGTTCAGACCCGAGAGGAGCAGCTGCAGGAGAAGCGTGTGGAGAAGATGATGAGAGCAGCAGCGAAAGACGTCCACAAGATCAGAGGCCAGAGCCGCAAGGAAGTCCCTGAAGTCCAGACCTTCAGGTGAGACTTCACAGACCCCCTTTAACTTCAGATATGAGGCACAGCTTGTTCCTCGTGTGGAGGGGAACAAAGGGTACCTCGGGATCGGTTTATTCAAAGCATTTTATTATTATTATAAACCTGAGATGAAACAGTGTTCATGTTTTGAGTCTGTAAATCACATTTACAGAACAAATTTGTACGCTGAGGCACGACGTCCGATCCTGTTGGATATTTGGGTCGTACGTCACACCGTGTGAGCGGAGCCACGAGCTGACTCTCTGACTCCTGGTCTCGCCCCCCCACTGATTTAACCTGCCAGAGAGCATCTTAGAATAGAATTAGAATAGAATAGACTTTATTGTCATTGCTCTAGAGAACATCGAAATTTCTGTGCCATGCCTGAAATATAAAAATATAAATATATAGAATAAAAACAAATATATACATAAACACACATGTGTATATATATATATATATATATACCTACACAAGTACAGTAGAAAACATCACACACACAATCATTATTAGTTTGTAATTAAATGTGTAAACAAAGCAGGTTGAAGCAATATTGCACTATTTGTCCCATGGTGGGTCAGTGTTTGATTTGAAATCACCATGGCAACAGCAGACACGCCCTTATTCCTCCGTCTCCCTCGTCCTATCGTTAAAGAAACTATCTGCAGACAGAGGAGATGTGATTGATCGTTAGCTTGTGTTGGTCGTGTGTCGTAAACATTTTAATCGCACAGTGTGAGATGACATCACGACTTCTCTTCAGGCGTACGGCGAGCTTCAGAAACAAAAAAAAAGATAAAAAGCACGTTTTAGTATTTTACAGACATGACCAGCTCATCTTTTTAAAGCTGTGAACTCTGAATCCATCATGAGAACATTCACAGACGTCATGTTCAGCGCTCAGTAGGAGAACTGTGTTAAGGAAACGAGTGATAAGGTTTGAATGTAGCGTTTGACCCTCCTGTTTCCTGTTTGTCTGTTTCCAGAGAGAAGATGGCGTTCTTCACACGAGCAAAGAGCAGCATCCCCGACCTGCCGGCTGACGACGTGTAGAGAATCATTTCAAAGTATTTCCTTCCTCCTGAGTCTCACCTGCTGTTCAGACACGAAGCGAGCGCTCTGCGGTGACATGAAGAAGCCAGAAGACGAGCGGCGTGTCGGAGTAGAAACCATGAAGGAGGCGCCGGGCGTGACGTGGATCGTGTTTGTTAGTGATAGCACTGTTAGAGCTCCACTTCCTGTTTCCTGTTACTAACCGGCTGTTGATAGGCTCGTACGTGTTTCCAATCATTCCAGAGTCACATGTGTGCTTGTTTTTATACTGACATTATGACTCTAAATATATAAATATGAACGTCTAACGAAGGCACAAAACAACAAACGATGGTACTGAAGAAACATCTCAACGTACGAGATGTTTCACCTCTTTTTTAAACTTTATAAACAAACTTGAGCACACATGAAGTTCCTCTGACTCCCGACTTCCACATACTCAGTGCACGCCGCCGTCTGTCAGCACAGCGCACTGCGCCGGCCCTCACTGTCACTCGAGTCAATGCTCCTGTTTCCACAGTTAGCGCTGCGTCACTACGCTCTGCTCTGTCTTAAATACACTGTGAGTCTGCAAACACACGTCAAGCTGGACAGAAAATATCGACAGGAAGTGAGAGAAGAAAACGCACAGAGAGTCCGGTCAATTTCAAAATAAAACACCACATACAGACTCCTGTTTGTATTTTTCATCACTTTCTCAACATGACGTCAAAACAGAATGAACAACAAATCATCCTCAGCAAGACAAAGAGACATGTTGATTGCACGTTTTTCTCTTTATTCTCGCCTGATCTTGTAGTTCTCTGGATCTTGTAGTTCTTCTGTGATCTTGTAGTTCTTCTGTGATCTTGTAGTTCTTCTGTGATCTTGTAGTTCTCCTCTTGTAGTTCTTCTGTGATCTTGTAGTCTCTTGTGATCTTGTAGTTCTCCAGTGATCTTGTAGTTCTCCTGTGATCTTGTAGTTCTTGTGATCTTGTAGTTCTCCTGTGATCTTGTAGTTCTTCTGTGATCTTGTAGTTCTAAACGGACCCGGTGTGGTAGGGTGCGCGACGTCCGACCGTGGCGCTGATGGACCGCAGCGTGAGCAGAGTATGTGGACGTTGGGAGTAATGGAGGAAAACTGGAAGTCTTTGCTTCGTCTCATCGGCTCTAAAAGAACTGGAAATGATGGGAGGTCAGATCGACCCTCACAGATAAACACTCACATCGTCAGCGAAACGTAGGATCATCACTAACTCTCACTAACACTCAGTTAGTTTGTTCGGATAGGCTGCACTTTAAGAAACGTAGGCGGGAAAAGTTTAAAATAAAAAAAATAAAAAAGGTTAAAAGAAACTCGATGTGGGTTTTAAAAATATAAAAAAGATCAAGAGCTCACCAAGAATGTCCACACAGGAAGTGAAGATGAAAATGTGTTTTTCCTGACTGTGAACTGATTGTATGACACCACACACACACACACACACACACACACACACACACACACACACACACACACACACACACACACACCTTGCAGGCGAGCAGCTGCCAGCCAATAGGAGAAAAGCAGACCTGTGATTGGCCTGTCAGTGTATCATGTATTATTGAACGTTTCCTGTTTCCTGGATATTCGCGCCATCTCGCCATCGTGGAGAAAGTTCCTTCACGTGCAGGAAGCTTTTTTTATTCCACAAACAGGAAGTCACTCGTCATGGTGACCCAGCAAAAACATCAACTTTGTTTCTTCTTCACGATGATGTCACGATGACGTCACGGAGTTAGCTGGAGGCTAAACAAAGCTAAGCTAGAGGGAAACAGGAAGTGACTCCTCAGCGTAGCAGGCGACAGAGGAGGGTTAAAGGTCACCTTGTTGTGTCGTTGGGAATAGAAGGAGGAATAACAGTAATGTCTCCGTTTAACAGCCGCCACCGCCCGGCGTCAACACGTAGCATGTTGCTAACCTCCTAACAAAGCTAACGTAACAGGTGTGGCTAACGGTTGTCAGTGAGGTTAATATCAGCTGGAGGTTAACTTTATAGAACGCCACGCAGGCGCAGCTCGCCGTCATGATGTAGCGGTTTGCTCTATTGACAATGACCCAAACCTCCCGCTGGTCAGTGTGACGCCGGTCACGGAGAGGAAGTGACCTCATATGTTCAGAGAAACTCGTGTGTTCTTTCGCCAAAATGACTTGCTAGCTAACGTAGGCTAACGTGGATTAAATAGGATTGTTTTGCCTCCAGCTAAGCCCCGCCCACCAACAAAAAAAAAGTCACACTGTTTACTAACACTAAAAGAGTTTATAGCCAGTTGTTGAAATGCATTCTGGGAAATGTTGTAAATGAGTAAACGAAGATGAAGTGAGCACGGCGAGGGAAATAAACGCAGAAACACTCGAAGAGTCAAAAAGCACAAACGTGACCCTCGTGGGGCTCCGTAGCGTCATCGAGAATGTGACTGACGCTTCAGGAAAACAAGATGGCGACTGCTCAGATATCAACGCGGAGGCTCCAGTTACTGTTGCTGCTTTCTGTCTCGTGTTGGCGGATGACCTTGAAGTCGTCAGAGGTCGTTCACCTTTTTTCTGTCCTCCGTCGGTTGTTGACTTTTTGCCCGGTCACCGTGCTCGACTTTTTGTTTTTGGTACTTTTTGCTGCTTTTGGATCAAACTGTCGTCCACGTGGAGCGAGCTCACAGCCGTGTTTCCACTCGTGATGTAAACCAGGAAGTGGCGCTGACGTGGACGCCGCCGTCTGATCCGAGAGCAGATGGTTAAACGTAGAGAAACGTTTGTGTTACTTTCTATAGAACAGGACTGCGTTCGTCACGATCGACCTCTAAATCAGTAAAAAAACAAAACACGCTTTTATAAACATCAACATGTGTGAAGGAACGTGGCTCCTCGCTCGCTCAGAGAGGAACGCCGTTAGTGTGACATGTCGTCTTCGTGCGGGATGTGAAATCCTTCTGGTTTGTGTTTTGAAGTTTCAGTTTTTGTTTCCTCCTCTGATTGTTTTTCTAATGAATCTGTTTGAATCCCGGCCGCTGACACGCAGAGACGCAGACAGCTTGTATTTATTGCACTTTGTGATTTGGGTGTGCTTTTCCTGTTTTATTTGTTTTTTTCTTTCTTTTTATCGCGAGAGTCCCGAGAAGCTGTGAATTTTATTCTCAGACACTGTACTGTCGACCAGAGTTGTAAATATTTCACCAGCACAAAAAACAAACGATATGTTTTGTAGTTTCACAACAAATAAAAAAAAAGTTCTTCTCTTCTATCCTCCGACTCGTTTTTCTCAAATTAAAGAAATCACATTTTAACTCTGAGGGTGGGGGTGGGGGGTGGGGGTGGGGTGGCGGTGGGGTGGGGTAGGGTGGGGTGGGAGTGGGGGTATCAGGATACCTGGTCTTTAAATGGGGAAACATCTGATGGACTGTGATGTTCAGAGTTCTTAAATTTAAGTCTACAGACCTGTTGGCTCTGTAGGCACACTGCAGGGGGTCCAGGAGAGGGTCTGTGAGGGTAGAGGTTTAGAGTTTTTGACTTTCCTGTATTCTTTAAGTTTAATGATGGAGGATTTCACTATTTTTACACTATTTAGTGTCTTAATTGTTTTAGTGTCTTAATTTTTCTGTTTTATTTTGTTATATAATAATTTGTGAAATAAGAATAAAAAGATGGATCACTGTGGAAGTTTTCTAACCAATAATGTACAAACGTCCGTAAATTTGTGATAACAAATAAAAACTTAGTTATTTTCCATCAAATCAGCAGGTGGCGCTGTTCACCGCCTGCTGCTGTTTTACGGTCCGCCGGCAGATACGAAGAAGAAGAAGTTGACGTTCCCTGCAGCGGAAGTACAATTACAAAGTGTCTGACTCCTTCCTGTCCTCAGTTTTGTGTCATCAGCCACGAGAATTCACATTCAGCCCACTCGAGAGTTTGTCTCCGGTGTTTTCAGAGAGATGGGAGACCCTTTAGCCGAGTACACAGCCCGACTGCAGCAGCAGGTAAGCGGCCGCTCTGTGGGCAAGCAAGCTAACGTTAGCTAGCAGGCTAACTATGACAACACGCCGGTGTGACGAGGCGCGCAGCCAAACCTCATTCAAAAAAGCGTCAATTCAATGAAATACTGCTCATAAGTGAAAACAAGAACATCCCAAAAGAAATGAAAGAATCTCTTTCGATTAGATGGACACTTTACTTAAATTCGGCTGAAACACATTTTGTCAAACTAAACGTATTTTAGTTTAAAATGTTAAATTAAGCTGTGATGTCATCTGTTCCAGTCAGATGGTGAAGGAGACGCAAAGCCAAACCCCAGAACCGTTTAATTTAATTCTTCTTAGGAGTAAAAATAAATCCACCACAGAATAAAATGTAAAATGTTCACAGAGAAGTGATAACTTTTAAATTCGTCTGAAACATCAAAAACTTTATTGTTTTATTGATTGTCCGAGTTTGTAATTTGCTTCGTGTCACTTGTCCCAGGCACATTCCTCCACACAGGCGGTCAGCTGCTAACCCAGCACCAAACCTCGTTTAAGAAATACTACATTTAAACTGATCCTGCTCGTTATTAAAACAGAAACATCATAGAGGAAATCTAAAACTATCTGCACATTAGGTAAACACTATCCTCAAATTCGGCCTTAACCTGTTTTACAAAACGCCATTTATGTAAGATTACATTTCAGTTTCATGAGTTGTTTTCTATTGGTTGTTTTCTATTGGTTGTTTTCTATTGGTTGTTTTCTATTGGTTGTTCCAGACAAATTCCTACACACCTGTTTTCAGATGAGTGAGAGTCAAACCTCATTCAAGTAAGTGTCCATTTTTAGCGGATCCTGCTTAACATTAAAACAGAAACATCACGAATCTTACACTCAGCTGGATCCTCTCACACCAAACTCCACTCATTTTATTTAAAATTAAACTTTGGCTTTCTTGTTACTCTTATGTTCACATCTGAGAGGAGCAGGATGGGGTTTTAATTGGCTCTTACTGATTTTATTTGAGCTCTGAGTTTCACATGAACTATCAGTTTATTATTAAAAGAGCAGATATTTACATAAAGTCATGTTTTAATAACTTTATTCCCGTTTCTTCTGGTCACAAATCACTCACTACATATCTCACAAACGAGTCAAACACAGAAGTTAAAGAAACTTTATCATCCTGGTGTTTGGCGCCATCTAGTGGTGTTTAGAGAGGATTGCAGGCGGCTCCAGCTGATATAGACTAAAAACACATTTTAGTGTTTAGATGATTGTTTGAAGCTAATGATGATGATGGTTTTGTCTTTTTGTATTCCTCTTAAATATTTGTTTCTATAAAAAGTTAAAAATACTGATTGAAGAATTTCCTGCAGCTTCATGTGACGGGTTTAAATTAAATCTCGAAACAAAACACTGAAACGATTAAATAATTTCATGTATGACAAAGAAAAGTAGAAAATCTTCACCTTCAAGAATCCAGATATTGTCTGTGATTTTTTTCTAATTATGGGTTAAAATTGGGCTGTTACATTGAAGGAATTGCTACCACTGTTTGTGCTTTCAGTTTCACTCTGACTCGCTCTAACTTAACCACCGCCCTTATTGTTAGTGTTGTTCTTCCAGGAAACCCGTGTGGTTGGGGGCTTTCATAGAATCAGTTTGACAGCTCTGTGGCTGTGAAGTCTCTTTCGGGTAACTGGAAAGTTTATTCGATTCTGCATCGATACAAGACAGAACATAATTTATAAATCATCTTTTAAAGGACCAGAGGACACTTCACAAGGTGGAGGGAGCAGACTGAGACAGGTAACAAAGCATGGAGGGCCATGAAGAGTTCAGGGAGGCTGCGGAGAACAGACAGGGTTCAAGTGCTAAGATGTGGCATTGTGGATGTCTGAGGGGGGGGGGTGGTCCAGAGAATTGGGGGGGGGACAGTTGTTCCAAATGTTCACTTAAAGATTTTTCCAGCCAAGTCCACTTTCACATCCAGGTGTTTTCAAAATAAACCTCAAAGTGTTTTATTTCTTTAGTAAGTGAAAGAAGCAGTTAAATCCTCGGGCTGTTCCTCAAACTCCTGATCCTAAAATCGAACCTCAAACCTCCTGTCATTGGTGGAACCGTTTGTGTCTTTGAGCAGCTTTTAAAAGAAACTGAAGATTTGATTTCTGTTAGCAGGTCGACTGCATGGTGTCGTTATCGTTGCTATAAAATCAATCATTCACTTTATTGAGTCTTTGATAAGAGTCTTATGAGGACACAACGAGGGGTTAATGTAGCCAGGAAGGGTGGCTGAGGGCTTCATCACCGACAGGAAGTGGAAGCTGATTGGTTGTTATGTCCCAGCTGAGCAGCAGATCTGCCCTTGCTGTACTAAAGACGAGAACTGAACCAGATGCCGTTAGAGTCTTCTGACTGAGACGCTGAGAGGTAACAAATCATCTTCATGATTATTAAACTGGTTTAATATTTAATATGTTTGAAAGAATCACAGTTACAGTTTAATTAAAAGTTTTTAGTTTTAACAGTTTTATGTGTTGTCAGATTTCACAATCGAGAGATTTTCAATGTAAAAGTGTCCTTAAAACAGAGAAAGACTTTCCTTTCTGTTATGAGGATAAACGAGAACAATGAGCATAACGGTAATCTTTAGATTCATAATTTTAAAAAATCCTTTTTATTTATCAGCATCAAGAGGAAACAACTAAATGTTTTTCTCTGATCTGAAATATCAACAGTCAGCGAATCGTGACCTTCAAAGATCCGTAAACGCTGAATTTCTGTGTTTTTGGCATAAAAAAAAACCAACCTTAAATTGAGTTGATGATGACTCCTCTTTAGGACTAATAATTAACTAACTCTTTCAGTTGTTTTGCATTTAAAGGTAAATTATTAAATCCTTCTTTTGCTTTATGAAAGTTCAAGGACAAATGTGAAGTCTTGGTTTTGGGGACTTTCATTTCAGGGTCAGTTTGTAACTTTGCTCCTTGTTGCATCATGTTCACAGACTGAGCAGGAAGCTTTCTGTTTCATTCTTACTCGCACTAAATGTCAGAGTCTTTTGTTTAATCAGATAAGCTGTAAAGAACGAGGATTATCTTTATTGGCTCACTGATAAAAACAAAAAAAAAGTTAAGGACTCTTAACAGGAAACTCCCTTTTGAAACCTCAGTGGTGTTTAAACATTTCTTTGTGGAACTCATCAAGTCGACGGTAATGTTCTGTGTCAGCTCTGAGCTTTAGAAAAACATTTCCCATGATTTACAGACTTTGGGGAAATGTTGCCACAGAAAAAAAAACTTAACTTTTCTGCTTTAATCCCTTTCATCGTGAAACATTTACCGGTAATAAACATCTCTCTGTGTCTCTCTCTCTCTCTCTCTCTCTCTCTCTCTCTCCCTCTCTCTGTCTCTCTCTCTCTCTCTCTGTCTCTCTCTCTGCCTCTCTCTCTCTCTGTCTCTCTCTGTCTCTCTCTCTGTCTCTCTCTGTCTCTCTCTCTCTCTGTCTCTGTCTCTGTCTCTCTCTCTCTCTCTCTCTCTCTCTCTCTCTCTCACACACACCTTCCACAAGCCTTTGCTTGATAATGTTTGTTGCTTAGATTAGTTTATAATAGTTATTTGTTTGATTAAGTTCATTGATTTTGGTTTGATGTTGCTTTGTTTAAATAAATTCTGTTATAATTTAAGAGAGCAGTTGTTTGTGGTTTCTGGTGTATTTGCATTGTGATATAAGCTGGGTGCGAAGGCTTTGTGTACGGATTTCACACCTTCAATTTATTAAAAATAGTTATTCATTATTAATAATATTAGTAATTAAATAACTAATTTGAGACTGATTTGAGTGATATTTTGGTTATATTTACCTGATTACAGGTTGGTGCCCCAAAACGAGATTAAACATAGTTTAATGATATTTTATTTATATTGTTAATAATTAAGTGTAATTATTAAAGAATATAACCAAAGTTGACTTGATACAACCCCAACACTTGTTATTTCTAGAACCCGACTGATATATCCAGTGACTATCAGTATCGGCTTGTTTATCTGAGATAAGCGCCGATGTAACCAGATTTTTTCACCAGTCATGTGGTTCAGGAAGTAAAAATCCGGTTCATTTTCTCCATAACAGATTTCTTAATTAGTCATGATGTCATAACCATCACAGGTAGACTGACCACGAGATTGGTTTATTCACGATATTGGGGAAAAGAACTACACTACCCACGTCCATAGAGTGTCACATCCACGTCTCTGATTTGTGGAGCTCGCTGTTACCATGGCAATGTTTCCCATAACTAATCACCGCTAGCATGCTATCTAATTATTTAGCTAACAGTAAAAGTGGTAATAACCTTTTTATGCTGCATTGAATGTAGTTTATATTTGATAACACAAACTTCAACATAGCACAGTTTCATTAACAGTATAAACACGACAACGACTTAAGTTACATTTAAGAAGAACAGGTATCATTCGCAATGCATTGTGGGATGAGTAGTTCATTGACTCCGGAAGAAGAATGATGTTCAGTCTTGTACCTTTACTTTTTTTTCTGTCTTTTAATGCAGTTTTTGCGCTGTATCAAATGTACTGTACTCACAAGTATTGGGTTAGATGGTTGTCATGGTTACTGGAAAATTTACTTAAGGAACCAGAGCAGCCGAAAAAGTGGGCGGTCCCTATTCAGCTCTATTATCTTCTAAGGGCTTGAGGTTGGCAGAATGCTTTTGTACACCATGTGTTTCAAAGCAATACACTCAACGTTATTATAACGACGGCCTGACAGATACAGGATTTTTGGGGCTTGACTTCAGAGCTTCAGTCACATTTTTAACATCAAAGTGTTTCTCAATATTAGGTGTCTAGGACTTTTGTTGCTGTGGTATTCAAACAGGTATCGGTATTGTTTAGTTTGTAAAAGAATCACATAAAAGTTTAAGTTTCTGGCATTATGACATTGCTCCAACTAAAGCCGCTTTCTCTTTCTTTATATTTCTTTGGTAAATTGTCACCGTTAGGAGAATTAATTTTCACTTCCTTTTATTGCTGCATCTGGATTTACAGGCAGATATCACAAGGTTACTTTACACTACTGAAACTTAAAAATGGAAGAATTCTCAGACAGGTTGGAGAGCCTTTTCTTAAGGTTTCTTGGCAACCTTTAAATAGTTTTGCTTGATTAACACCAGGGATAATTTAATTCAGATTCATAATTGCATATTTGTAAACTAAGTGAGGCACTTTGGGGCGTTTTGGTGAGCTTTGTGCCACAGCATTAGGTGTTAATATGTCGTCTGTGTTTTGTAACCCAAAAATCTTAAAGTCTCCTGAGGTGTGCCCCAAGGCTCCATACTGGGTCCTCTTCTGTTAAAAAAAATAAAAATCAGTTTTTGGGACGTTTTCAAAAGTTGTGTTGTTGTCAGCTGTGTGAACTTGATGTTAACTCAGTTCTTGGGGGTAAACAGGCAGACTGAAGCATCTAAAAGATTGCTGCCTAATGTGGTTATCAGAAGCAACAGTTACATTAAAATGTTTTGTTTTGACTTTTACAGGAGCAGGAAATCAAGAGTCTTTCTGCAGAGATCGAGAGTCTTAAAAACCCACAGAGCCAGAGCCCGTCTCCTCGCCTCGAAGAGCTGCGAGACGAAAACACCAAACTCAAATACCGCCTCAACATCCTGAAGAGGGTGAGTGACTGTAGAAAGTTCACAGAAGGAAACAACCCAAACCGGGCGGCAGAGAGAATGGGAGCCTCGTCGTCATCTTTTGTTATTGTTTTGATCGGGAGCTCCCTGGTGGTGGTGTTCACATACTGACCGTTTAATGCAAAAAGACACGCTGAATGCTTTCAGTTCAGTTTCAGTTTCAGATCAGATCTTAATTGTCCCTGGAAGGAAAACTTGATTTGCAGCAGTGGACACAAAAACACAACAGATAAACATACATAAGGACAGTGCAACACAACCTGATGAAATACAACCAAGAAGTTTCACTCGAATGGTATAAATAAATATAACGCAAGGAGCATTGCAACACACTCGCATGTTCATTTCTCAGAACTCAGATTTGTCACTTTAGCAGAAGTATTAAAAGCTTACTGCAGTTCCTACAGATCCCTGAATCATTGCAGCATGTGTCCTCAGACGACCTCTTCACTGGAACCGTCCTGGAGTGATGTTTGCTAATCATCTGCTCCAAAGTTCACCAACAAAGGAAGATGTAACTTTTAGCAAGTGATTGTACACGTCTTATAACTGTGAGATAGATTGAAGTGGAGATTTATGATTAAGAAAAAACAGAAATCAGGAACTTGTGAGAACAAATTAAAAAGTTTACACTGAAATAAAACTGCTACAGAATGACGCGGGTATGGAAGCATAACGCATTCATGACGTGATACCTCTTTTGCCAAAACACGTCAACAACAACAAACGTGATGTTTCCTTCAGTCGAGCGTCCTCTTCATGTGTCATCGTTAATCTGCTTCGTGTGTGTCCTGCAGGAAGGCAGCGCTCCCTGCAGTAAAGCCATGTTGAACATAAATCAGCGGCTCCTGGAGGTTTTCGGCGAGGCCATCCGGGCTTCCTGCCCCGAGCTGGACGACCCTCCACTGGCCGTGTCGCCCAACCAGCAGGCCAAGTTTGGAGATTACCAGTGCAACAGCGCCATGGCTCTGTCCCAGGTGAGAGCGCCACATGTTACATGAGAGTCAGCTGATCCTCCATGTGTCTACAGTTTAACTTTTGTATCGACCTGAACGTTCAAGTCAAAATGTCTTCCTGCCTGGACGTTCGTTTGTTCTGGAATAAAAAAAGTGTTGAATCAGATTTGAACTGAAACTGTGTGATGTGTTCGCTCTGCAGATCCTGAAGGCGAAGGGAATGAAAGTCAACCCGAGAGAGATCGCAGAGAAGATCATCCAGAACCTTCCAGCCAACGAGCTCATCCAAAAGACGGAGATCGCAGGACCAGGTAGAGACACAAACACCTGACCTGCGTCTCCAAACGAAACACACACACACACACACACACACACACACACACACACACACACACACACTTTAAGTTTCAACACAGTTTAGATGGCGACGCAGCTTCTTCACACAAACTGAGCAAAGAGGCGGCTGGATGAGTTCTGAGTACTTGTGATAATAATAATAATACATTTTATTTATAAGCGCTTTTCAAAAACTCAAAGACACTTTAGTTAAAAACAGAAAGAACAGCACAGTAAGGACAGACTAAAAGACAACATTACACACAAATCATAAAGATAACAACAATAAAGGTAAAACTACAGAAAACAGGAAATACATCACAATCATACATTAAAAGCTTGTTTGAAGAGGTGAGTTTTGATCAGTGATTTAAAAGTAGGAGGGTCGGTACAGTGTTGAATGTGTGTCGGGAGTGAGTTCCAGAGGGAGGGGGCAGCTATGGAGAAGGCCCTGTCCCCCTTGATGTCAGTCAATTTTTATTTGTATAGCGCCAGATCATAACAAGTGTTATCTCAGGACACTTTACAAACAGCAGGTAACAGATCTTACTCTCTGTTATGTTACGAAGACTCAGACGTTACTCCATCATGAGCTCTGAGCAACATTAAGCAAAGTTACAGAGGAGAGAAAAAAACGTCTTTTTAAGAGGCAGAATTCCAGAATCATGATGAACAGCCGTCTGCTGAAACTGCTCCGAAGCTGAAGGATGTGATGGGAGGGGACGGGATGGGGGGGGGTGATATTTACCTAGAAGTACCTCCAGCGCTCGTCTGTATCCTCCCAGCGCTCTCACTTCCTGTCTTTGTGTCTTCAGGCTTCATCAACGTCCACCTGGAGAAGAAGTTTGTGTCCAAGCTGTTGAGCAACCTGCTGGTTAACGGCGTGCAGCCCCCCCCGCTGGACGCCAAGAAGAGGGTCCGTCACCATCACATGACACACAATGCTGCAACATTATTTAAAAATCAAACTTCTCAAACTTAAGCTGCTGCTCTCTTTTCTCTGTGCGGCGCTCAGGTGGTTGTGGACTTCTCGTCTCCAAACATCGCCAAAGAAATGCACGTGGGCCACCTCCGCTCCACCATCATCGGGGAGAGCATGTGCCGCCTCTTTGAGTTCCTGGGATACGACGTTCTCAGGTCGGTTCGATTTCCTGCTTTGCAACAAAACAAATGTCTGATGTTGTTTTCCTCTCGAGTCTTCAGTTTGTTTATTTTTAGTTCAGGATCAGAGTGGAGTAGAGTCCACCTGGTGTTCAGTGTCGGTATTACATTCAAATACAAATTCAATTCAATTTTTCAATTCAATTTATTTTGTATAGTGTCAACTCATAACAAGTGTTATCTCAGGACACTTTACAAAAATCAGGTTAAAGACCTTACTTATAAGACCCGGCCTATCCATCATGAGCACTTTTAGCAAAGCAGCAAAAGTTACAGTGGTAAGAAAAAACTGTCTCATTAAAAGGCAGAAATCTTCGGCCGGATCCCCGGCTCATGACGAAACAGCCTTCACAGGTCTAGACTGCGCCGGGGTTGGAAAGGGATAGGGGGAGAGATGGGATAAGATGCAGGAAGAGGGATAGGGAGCGAGGGGGTGGGGGGAGGCAGACAACATCAACAATCCGGTGGTGGGGGGGGGGGGGTTGTTCTGGCAAATTCAGTGTTGTGTTAGTGCAAAGATCAATAAAAGACAAGATGAAGCAAACGGAACGCTCTGTGCACGTCAGCCGTGGCATCGTGGCGTTCTGTGCAGCAAGTCGACCGTGACCACGTGGCGTTCTGTGCAGCACGTCGACCGTGACCACATGGCGTTCTGTGCAGCACGTCGACCGTGACCACGTGGCGTTCTGATGGTTAAATGTCTCTGCAGGTTGAACCATGTGGGTGATTGGGGGACTCAGTTCGGGATGCTGATCGCTCACCTGCAGGATAAGTTTCCAGACTATCTAACGGTCTGCCCGCCCATCAGTGACCTTCAGGGATTCTACAAGGTCAGTAACCAGTCCACCGTCTTTTCCTCAACTCAACATTTCACGTTTCTGTTTTTCTCTCATGTTTGTAGTTTACTCGATTTTAAAGCTCCACCTGTGTGGAGGTCATCCCGTGAATCCTTTACATTTAGGATGAAAGAGAAGAAATCAGAATTTAGTTATTTTACACATTAATGGATTCAAAACGAACCAACATGGCGTCGTCTCCCCTCAGTAACTCCTGAACCTTCCTGAAAGTTCCCCACACATACACACATATCCAAGATGGCTGCCGTGTACTTTTTGAGAAAGAAAGTAATTCTGTGATGACAAATAATGTGTACACACACACACACACACACACACACACACACACACACACACACACACATCTAAGTGCAAACATTATCTGTTCTGCTGTCTTCTTCCTTCGTTTCTCTCTGAGCCTCATTAACTACATCATCCACCCTGCTGTTTGTTGTCCTCATTTATTTTCTTTTTGTGTGTAATTTCTCCTCTTCCTCCTCCTCCTCTCCCTCATCATCCTCCTCCTCCTCCTCTTCCTCCTCCTCTTCCTCCTCTCCCTCATCCTCTTCCTCTTCCTCCTCCTCTTCTTCTCCTCCTCTTCCTCCTCCTCCTCCTCCTCTTCCTCCTCCTCTTCCTCCTCTCCCTCATCCTCTTCCTCCTCCTCCTCATCCTCTTATCCTCTTCCTCCTCTTCCGCTTCCTCCTCTTCTTCCTCCTCTCTCTCATCCTCCTCCTCCTCCTCTTCTTCCTCTTCTCTCTCATCCTCCTCCTCTTCCTCCTCCTCTTCTTCTTCCTCTTCCTCCTCTTCTTCCTCTTCCACCTGTTCTTCTTCCTCCTCCTCTTCCTCCTCCTCTTCTTCCTCCTCTTCTTCCTCTTCTCTCTCATCCTCCTCCTCCTCTTCTTCCTCCTCTTCTTCCTCCTCCTCCTCTTCTTCCACCTCTTCTTCTTCCTCCTCTTCCTCTCTCATCCTCCTCTTCTTCCTCTTCTTCCTCCTGTTCTTCCTCCTCCTCCTCTTCTTCCTCCTCCTCTGTACCACCAGGAGTCAAAGAAGCGTTTTGATGAGGAGGAGGAGTTTAAGAAGCGGGCGTATCAGTGTGTCGTCCAGCTGCAGAGCAAAGAGCCGGACTTCATCAAAGCCTGGAACCTGATCTGTGATGTTTCCAGGAAAGGTAACCAGCTGATGTAATAATCCTTCAGGAACAGATGTTCCAGTTCACTTTGCAAACATGATGTCTGGATTTCTTTAGAGGACACAGACAGATCTGTTACATTAGACGATGAGCGACCCAAACAGCTGGAGGGGTATGATCATGTGTCTGAGTGTGAGAGCCGCTCTTAACAACAAACTGTGTGTGTGTGTGTGTGTGTGTGTGTGTGTGTGTGTGTGTGTGTGTGTGTGTGTGTGTGTGTGTGTGTGTGTGGGTGTGTGTGTGTGTGTGTGTGTGTGTGTGTGTGTGTGTGTGTGTGTGTGTGTGTGTGTGTGTGTGTGTGTGTGTGTGTGTGTGTGTGTGTGTGTGTGTGTGTGTGTGTGTGTGTGTGTGTGTGTGTGTGTGTGTGTGTGTGTGTGTGTGTGTCAGAGTTTCAGAGGGTGTACGACTGCCTGGACATCACCCTCACCGAGAGAGGAGAGTCCTTCTACCAGGACTTGATGAACGATGTGGTGAAGGAGTTTGACGAGAGAGGTCAGTGGTACAGCAGGTCAAAGGTCGCAGGACTCAGACTCTGTAGAGCTCAGCAGTTGGTCTGCTTCCTGTTGGGTTAGCGTGTGTTAGCTGGCAGTAAACGTACACACTACATCCTGTAGTGAGTGGGCGGAGCTTCTGGGGGGCCAGTAGTCCAGGAGGAGGCAAAGTGAAGACTTTATTAGAGCGACGTATTTCAGCTTGTGACCTTCATCAGGGTCATCCATGAATGGTCACTCTCCATGCAGCCTGATAATTGGCTCGACCCTGCGTTAGACTTATTTTAACAAGTCAAACTTCAACAACATCGCCGACGTCAGAGGATTTTAAAACTCTTTGAATTATGAGTCTGCAGTTCCTGAGTGTGACCACAAGAGGGCAATATTACCTCATCGTTTTCCTCTCCTACATCTGTTGGAAATCTTTTATTCCCTCACTTCACTTTTTATTCATGCTCCATTTCTCCCATTGTCTCCTCTTTTCTTTTTCTACCATTAAAACATTCCCTGATTACCCCCCTCTCTCTCTCTCTCTCCCCCTCTCTCCCCCCTCTCTCTCCCTCTCTCTCCCTCTCTCTCCCACCCCCCCCTCTCTCTCCCTCTCTCTCTCTCCCTCTCTCTCTCTCCCTCACTCTCTCACTCTCTCTCTCTCTCTCTCTCCTCCCTCCCCCCCCCCCCCCCCCTGTCTCTCTCTCTCTCTCTCTCTCTCTCCCCCTCCTCAGGCCTGAGTCAGATGGACGACGGCCGTAAAATCGTCTTCCCCCCGGGTCAGTCCATCCCACTCACCATCGTCAAGTCGGACGGCGGTTACACCTACGACACGTCCGACCTCGCTGCCATCCGTCAGCGAATCTTTGACGAGAAAGCTGACATCATCATCTACGTCACAGACAGCGGACAGGTGAGGTTTAAGATGTTCACTGACCCACAAGTTTGTCTGAACCTCAGGAAGCAGAAAGAAGTCTCTGCCCCCTGGTGTTTAAAATGGGTACTGCAGTCTAAATTCTAAACATCATAGAGAGCTGTCCCCCCCCCCCCCCTCTCTAGAGTGGATGCTCACTCAGGTCACCATGTGGTGGACTCTGAAGCTTCAGTGTTTATCCAGCTCTGCATGGGTCTGTAAACCTTTCTGTGTTCTAACCTCTCTCCATTTTTCAAAAGCATCTCCAATATTGATCCTAGTTTGAGCACGTTTCTGCTCGTGGAGCTTATTAGAAACATGCAGAGGCTTTTTAGGTCGGGTACAATCACTTCTATCTGAACCACTTCTCTTGACCGCTTCCATCGCTGCAACACCTGTTGACCTGATAACTGCTCTCATACCTGACAAACTGAGAGGCTTGATCTCACCTCATCTGTTTGTTTGTTTCTTTGAAGTCCACACACTTCCAGGTGGTGTTTGCTGCGGCTCAGATGATTGGTTGGTACGACCCCAAGGTGACCCGGGTGGAGCACGCAGGATTTGGAGTTGTGCTGGGAGAGGACAAGTATGTAGTTGGCCGCATGCAGTGTATTCTTCTGTTTCTGAGCTCCAGAGATTCATTGTGTTTCCTTCTCGTGTTTCCTTCGCAGGAAGAAGTTTAAGACTCGCTCTGGAGAAACGGTGAGGCTGATGGACCTGCTGGAGGAGGGGCTGAAGAGGTGCATGGACAAACTGAAAGAGAAGGAGCGAGACAAGGTGAGGAAGCGTGGACGCAGCACCGACCGGCTCAACGTTATATTGAGAATTTTTGCTTTCCTCATCGCTTTGGATAAAAGTGACAAATGATTCGTAAGATTGAACACAGGAGACAAACATGTTGTTGTTGTTGTTGTTGTTGTTGTTGAACATATTTGTATTTAATCGTCTGCTTCCTCCCTCTCGTTTCTCCTCTGAATATTTGCTTCAAGTCTTGAACTCAGCTAGAATCCTTTTCCGTCTTTCCTTCGCGTCCTGTGTTTGAAGGTTTGATAACGGCCGTTTAGTCCGAGGTTGTGTCCTCGCAGCTCGTTATTTCTCCTGGACGACGAGGCTGCTGATTTGACAGTAATGACTGCCTCTCTCTCCGGGAGCCGTTAATTCTTCTCCTCCCGCACGAAGCGAGCAAAACTCTGGATCCTTCTGATCACATCCAGAGACGACCACGTCCTCCCTCTCATCAGCTCTGCCAGCGAGCCGCCTGCGTGTGCTCGCTCCATCGTCTCTCCTCCTCGTCGTCTGCAGCCACACAAACATTTCTATCTTTTATTTGTTTGTTTGTTTTGGATTCTGAGTGAAAGAGACGCCAAACTATTTGAGACTAAACATCAAAGTTATAAAACTCGACTGAAGCTGCTGGGAAAGTCTTTTAACTGAATGAACAAGCCACCAACAAAATATCAAAGAGAAATTCATCCCCCTGATCGGGAGCAGCTGATTGGACGTCGTGCCTCAGTGTTCACTTCAGGGGCAGCTTTAGTCTGGATCAAAGTGAAGTCCAGAGGAAACCGCCGTAATGTCACTAACGCTTTTCTGCGATTGAAAAGCGGTTTACTGCTGAGAGAAGACTCTGACACGTCTGACGTAACTCCTCCCCCTTCTCTCTCCTCGCGTTTGAAGTTTAGTGTCCGAGATGTTTTCTCAGACGTTTAGAGAAGATTTCAGTCATGTTGGCGTCCACAGAGAGCTTCATGTGTGCGCGTTATATCTCTGACTCGTTGCAGCAGAGCGCCTTCATCATGCTACCATCATCACGCCGCCATCATCACGCCGCCATCATCACACCGCCATCATCACGCCGCCATCATCACGCCGCCTCTGCAGCTCTCAGACTTGAATCTTTGTTTGTTAGTATTTTCCACCTTCTCACCTCTCCATCGTTCCAGCTCGTCTCTAAATCCTCTCTCTTCATGTGTTTGTTCTTCTTCTTCTTCTACTCGCAGCTTTGCGTCTAAATAAAAACAAGTTAAACCCCCGACCCGGCGCCGCCCTGGTTAACGTCGTCTGGAGCCTCCAGTTGAACTCTGATTTGAATGCGGAGCCGGTTTTGTGAGACGGTTGCCAGAACACTTTCCCTGCAGACTCTTCTGGCTTTTCTCGTCTGGGTCGGCGCCCACGTCTACCATCTGCTAACCCTGCCTCATTAAAACAAACCCCGACCCCGGCCTCCACGCACCCCCGCCCCGCCTGCGAGTTCTGTTCTCCAGTTGTTCTGGATTCTGCTTCGGTTCTGTGTTTGTGTTTTTGAAGCTGAGCTCAACAGATTTCAGATTTGTGTCTCGAAATTTAATCAGCGGAACTCAAACCTCTTCTTAGGGCGCACTCACACGGCGCCCAGCTGTCCCGTACCGTGCTGAAGCATGACCCCCACCCCCAGTCCCCCTCCCCTGCACTCACACTGCTCCAGGCCACACAGGGTTTGAGCACGGTTACATCCGTACATACTTCAGCTGTGGCTCAGCGGTAGTTGGTCATCTCTCAACCTGAAGGTCGGGGGTTCAATCCCCAGCTCTGTCTCGTCATCTCTCGCTCTGATGTCATCTCCTGTCCCGTCCTAAATTCTTCGGTTCTAGCCTCTTTAACTCCGCCATCTTTGATAAGGCACCGTCATGTTACGACCCGTCCCTTTATCTGATGAGGTGTTGTGTTCAGTTTGGTTACCCTGTCATGTTGTGTCACATCCTCGCTCAGTCACTCTCTGCTCTCCCTACGATGACGTACAGCCAGCGGTAATAACGAGCTGATGACTCAGCAGAATATTTAACGAGGGATTAAGATGAACTGGTGTCTCTGCAGGTCCTGACCCCGGAGGAGCTGACTAAGGCCCAGAGGGCGGTCGCTTTCGGCTGCATCAAATACGCTGACCTCTCCCACAACCGCATCAACGACTACGTGTTCTCCTTCGACAAGATGCTGGACGACCGTGGCAACACGGCGGCGTACCTGCTCTACGCCTTCACCCGCATCAGGTGAGCAATCACACCGACGCTCACACTTGACACAGCTTCAGTTTTCCCACCAGATATTCCTCGTAGGCTCGGATCCATCCTCTGATATGTGGTCAGCAAAATCCTGCAGTTCCTGGAGTGTCCACTAGAGGCTGGCTGCAGAAGCACAGGAAGTCACATACACACCCATTCTAAAAAGCCTGTTTTTACAGCAGAGATGAACATGTTTACAGCCTGGTTCAAAAAAACAAATAGGTGTGATTAGCTCATGTCTGGATGGACACACACTGTACGGGGGATGAATGTTTTGATGACTCATCAGTTTTGATTTGATGAAGGATAAGAGTTCTCTGTACATGAAGACGGGGAGGGTTACCCGACTGATTCAAAAAAAAAAAAGGTCATGAGAGCTGTTTTAACGCCGTCCTCTTCCTGTAGGTCCATCGCTCGCCTGGCGAACATCGACGAGGCGACGCTGAGGACAGCGGCGGAGACCTCGGAGGTCATCCTGGACCACGAGAAGGAGTGGAAGCTGGGGAAGTGCATCCTCCGATTCCCTGAGATCCTGCAGAAGATCCTGGACGACCTGCTGCTGCACACGCTCTGCGACTACCTGTACGAGCTCGCCACCACCTTCACCGAGTTCTACGACAGCTGCTACTGCGTGGAGAAGGACAGGCAGACAGGTATGCCACCGGGAGAGGAGGGGGGGGGGGTCCAGGAGGTGAGACAGGAAACGTGGAGGTCAACAAGATGATAATGGAGCAGAAGTTAATATTCTCAGTTTCACTCTTAAACGGTTTAAGACTTGAAGGCAGCTAACCGTGTTAGCGCTCGTCCCCGCTAGCATTGCGTCCCTGCAGCGTGCTAACACTTCAGGCTTAAAGCTAATTATGCTAATGCGCCGTTAGCATGCTGCGCGCGTGCGTGTGTGTCGCCCGAGTGTCATCTCAAAATGATCCAAAAAACTTCATTTGAATGTTTGAATAGATTTTTCCTCTGGGAGAATCCTCTGTCTGTCTGTCTGTCTGTCTGTCTGTCTGTCTGTCTGTCTGTCTGTCTGTCTCTCTCTCTGTCTCTCTCTCTGTCTCTCTGTCTGTCTCTCTGTCTGTCTGTCTGTCTGTCTGTCTCTCTCTCTGTCTCTCTCTCTGTCTCTCTGTCTGTCTCTCTGTCTCTCTCTCTGTCTGTTTGTCTGTCTCTCTGTCTGTCTGTCTGTCTCTCTGTCTCTCTGTCTGTCTGTCTCTCTGTCTCTCTGTCTCTCTGTCTCTGTCTGTCTGTCTCTCTGTCTCTCTGTCTGTCTGTCTGTCTCTCTCTCTGTCCCTCTCTCTGTCTCTCTGTCTCTCTGTCTGTCTGTCTCTCTGTCTGTCTATCTGTCTGTCTGTCTGTCTTATACGTTGAGAATTTTCAGTCAAAATGTTTTTTTCTGCTTTAATCCCTTTCACCGTGAAACATTTACCGGTAATAAACATCTCTCTGTGTCTCTCTCTCTCTCTCTCTCTCTGTCTCTCTCTCTCTCTCTCTCTCTGTCTCTCTCTCTGTCTCTCTCTCTCTCTCTCTCTCTCTCTCTCTCTCTCTCTCTCTCTCTCTCTCTCTGTCTCTCTCTCTCTCTCTCTCTCTCTCTCTCTCTCTCTCTGTCTCTGTCTCTCTCTGTCTCTCTCTCTCTGTCTCTCTCTCTCTCTGTCTCTCTCTCTCTCTCTCTCTCTCTCTCTCTCTCTCTCTCTCTCTCTCTCTCTCTCTCTCTGTCTCTCTCTCTCTCTCTCTCTCAGGTGAGGTGGTGAAGGTGAACATGTGGAGGATGTTGCTCTGTGAGGCCACTGCGTCCATCATGGCCAAAGGCTTCGACATCCTGGGCATCAACCCGGTCCAGAGGATGTGATGTCACAGGGATAAGACCCGCCTCTGACGTCTTCCTCACTCGCATCGCGGCCAAAACTCACCGGAGACGATTCTACGATGTCACAATATACAGAAAGCGTCACGTAGAGTCGATTTAATAAAATATCTCATGTAAAGTATCGTTTTTATTAAAGAACCAAACGCCCACCCGTCTGCTGTCAATCATTTTCAAGGTCACGTCTCTGTCTCCATGTTCTGAAGGAGCGAGGACAAAGTGTCTAAAGCTGAATCCTCCTGAGCTGCTGATCCACACGGTGCTCACGGAGAGCGGGGGGCGGGGTCTCAGGAGGCGGGGTCTCATCCTGAGAAACATAAGCATTACGGTGCGTCAACATGGCAGGATACTAATTTTAAGACGATATTACAGCAGTTCTAAAAAACACAATTTATAAAAAACATCACATCGTGTTTCAGACTTCAAAATAAGAGAGAGACAATGATGTCGTTAGAAAATCGTTTACTGAAGTAAACTCATCTTCTCAAACGTATATTAAACATTCGCCCCCTGCTGGTTGTTATACAGACTGCAGCTTAACCCTCATGCATCATTATGGACATGTTTGTCCATTTGGTCAAATGTTTCCTCTTCATCTGGTCATCTTGTCTGTTAGTGCATATGGAACACATGTTTTATAACAAAGTCTCTCTTCACACATTTTGGAATGCACATTTTATTTTTTTAATAGCTCAATAGAACACTGAAACATGTTTACTACCCTCTGAAGGACATAAGGCCCTGCTCAGAAATATCAAATATTGAATAATTATCAGGAATTTAACCTTTAAATGCCAGAATCATGTAATCAAACTGGCATTTAAAGCGTTAAATTCCTGATAATGGTTGAAGCTGGAGTTGTTTAAGAGATTTATGCAGAAAAAAATAGAAAAAAATATTAATCTGTTTTTTTTTTTTTATATCAGTTTTTTGTAAGTGGACATTTTTGTCCTTAGTGACTTCAGAGGGTCGTAAATGAATCTGTCGCCTGAGGGTTTAAGTCACTTCCTGTTTGTTCTCAAAGCTTCTGAACGAGAATAAAAACACTGAACGCCTGTTTACTGTCGTCGTCTCTTCTCCGTTCGAACAGCTTCAGCCCTTCAAAATAAAAGCTTTAAAATAAATCCTGCTTATTGAGTCTTCAGGATAGAAACGTCTCGCTTTCTTTTCAGCTCTAATGGCGTCTCTGGACTTTGACACGTAGCGAGCGGCATCTGACTCGAAACTGCTTTTTAGAAAACGACAATTACAGCCTTCGTGACGCCGCAGGAAAGTGGGCTTTGTTTGCAGGAACGCCGAGTGCGAGGCAAACAAAAGCCGTCTGACAGAGTTAACTACACATCACACGCTCTCTCCCAGGCAGCCTGTAATCGTGAAGAGTGGCGTCGCTGTTCCGACAGGCGTGCACCGCCGTAGGTTTAAAAGTTGCACGACTCGGGGATTCGGCGTGCGACAGCTGTTGGCGGCGTTGTGGAGACACGTCTGTGAGCTGTTTTTTGAAATGTAACGTCTCCTCTGGACTTAGAGGCTCCTCCTCCTCAGACAATAATGAAACATTCATGGACAAACGGCCTGAGTAATGTTTTAGAGTTTTATTAAATATTCATCGTTCATGAAACACTTTTTGAGAAATGATTCTGCAGTCGACCGTTGATCAGCCCACTGCTCGCCCTGAAGACAAAAAACGAGTAAACGCCGTTCAGTCGGTCTGGGATCTTTCAGTGACCTTCTTCAGTCCCTCTACATCCGAGGCCGCGTCTCCTAAAAGTCCTGAGAGTCTGTTTCCTGTCGTCTCTCCGTCCTCGTTTCCTGCGGCGTGTTTCTCCTGATGTGAGGAAGAAGACGATATGACTGAGCGAGTCGTCGTCCCCTCACAGGTGAAAAAAAGGTACAAGAAGCTTCTTAGCTTCACGATGAAACGTCCGCCTCCTGCTCCGTCTCGCCTCTTTCCCTCCGTTAGAAGTCGAACGCGGCCGTCGGCTTTTCATCCTTCCCATCAAAACGTCCTCAGGCAGAGCTCGCCACGGTCTGTGTCTGTCTGAGCGTGGAGCGTATCGGGCGCAGCGGGGGAGCGCAGAGGGGCTGCCGGCAAACTGAAGGTCACTGACACAAAGAGCGAGCACTCAAAAGGAGGGCAGCGAGGGACACGTGGTTAAAGGGAAGGGAGGGGGCGGGGCCTCAGAGGTGACCTTCAGTGCTCCAGTTTCACTGTGAAATAAACGTCTCTTCAGCTTCCTCCACGCCGTTTACGATCAGTCAAACGTCTGTAAGTCCGCTCTGAACGAGTCCCTGATGGCGGTGAGACCGGACGCCAGAAGATGTCCGCTCACTCGGCGGTGCCACTCGTGCGACCGGCCCCTGAAAGACAGAAACAGACGAGACGTTTTTAGAGGACACAAACTCTCAGATTTAGTTTTTATTGACAGCGATGAATAAAAGAAGCCGAGATCGAGTTTCCTGTTTTTGTTTCCTAAAGAGAAAAAACTCTTCGATGCTGAAAACTTCAGTTCAGAACTTTGTGACAAACAGCGAGAGCGAGGATGTTGATGACACACGCAGCCCGTGAAGAGCACAACCACAAGATGAAAGATAGCTTCATGCTAACGAGAGTTTAGGAGTCAACATGAACGCAT